TGTAATTTCAATTCAATTTTTATCTACTCCGTATATTTTGCGGGATTTTTTCACAAATTGAGGTTCTACGCGAGTGTCAAGTACGCACCGCACTTTCTTAAAAATGTCTCAAAAAGATTTCAACAATAGGCTTTTACAATAGTTCTTGTGAAGTTCTATAGTTCTAACTCTCGTTCTAAGGGTTGCTTTCGGAACCAGAGGTGAGTAGCGGAGAACCTCTGCCCGCCAAGCTACACGTTCGTGTTCACGTTTAGCTCGGCTGCGATGGGATTCGCATTGTCGACGAAAGTTATAATCACAAAATCCTACTTCCAGACTCGCCGCTACGATTTGGCGCCATGATTTTGGTATCGCCTAAAACCGTAGCGTTGTGCATCTCCCTACTCATCTTTGGTATTACTATATGTGTATGCCCGACCAATAAAGAACATGGATTGGTTGGAGAGCCCTCCGCTTAGGTGGCGCGGCGATGCTGAAATGAAACTTGGTCCATGAAAACTAGCTTTTGGCAATCTCCCTACTCATCTCTGGTAGTAGCGCGCGAGGATGAAAATAACATCGAAACAGAGGACATACGCAATTCGAGAATAAAACGAAAGTGTAAGTCGCCATTGCATCGAGGAGCGTTTATTGCGAACTCCATTCCGTGGAGAATATTGACAACCGATAACACTCGATAAAACCGCAGCATTATGGCTAAAGGAAAAGGTACATTTTCTTTACTATTACATATAAGTATACATTTTGACTTTGCAAATGGTTTTTCAATATTGCTTTTGGTGTTATTATATAAATAATTAGGATATAATCATTAGTGGATATATTCTCGTTCTGTTTGGTGATGCTGATCGATTGACGATTATTTTTAGGTGGTGGTGGAAAAGGTGGAGACGTGAGTTATAGCATAAGATGTTTTATTGTTGTTTTTATGGTTATTTTTAAAAAGTTCATCAAAGATCATTTAATTAATTCTTTCGCGTCTTTCTGTAATCCACTTTTTGTTATGATCGTGAGAAATAATGCAGGCAAATGAGATATTGTAAAAAACAACTTACAGAAAAAAGCTGCAGGTGCCGTTAGCGGCGCCAGCGCTAATGCTAGTTCCGGTGGTAAAACAGCTGAAGTGAAACCTGATGGGAATGCTGGAAAGAAGGGCGGAAAGAAAGGTGGGTAATAAATAATACATTTTGCACTTTTATTTTGTTAGCAATTATTGACAGATGTTTATGTTATAATTTGTTGCATTATCATTGCAGGCGGAAAGAAATGATGCATACTGGATCGCAGGAAAATTTCAACATAGAATAATAAGGGCGCGAAAAAAATTTTTAAATATCAACATTTTTCTTTGTCGCATTAAAATCCTATTAGTTGCGCACAAATTCATCGAATATAATGATCAATCATCAAATTCAACAACTGTTAAATACGTATTTGATTAAAGCAGAAAAAATATGCTTATAGCATAAAATCATATAGGTTTATTTTTCTTGTCATTTCATTAAGATTGGTTATTTTAAATATCTTTAAGCTGACATATATCACGGCGAAATACAGTACAGTAATCAAAAATAAGAATTAAATTTTTCTAAACAAAAAAATGTCTTATCTATGTATACTGATTAGCATCTTAAACGAGTTCAGCATCTTCATTAAAAAGAAAATACGTCATATTTAACAATTATTCGTAATTTTATATTGACAGTCATTTTTTTGTAACGTATTCGAGTAATAGCTACAGTTTCTTAACTAATAGTTCAAAAATGTTTTCTCATAAGTTTACAACGTTACATATGCTGTTGTACGCACATGTGTTGAATTCGCCTATAATGATATATGGTATTTACAATAAAAATAATCACATTGGTTCAACTGTATCCCGATACCACATTATCGGACACCGGAAGCTTGCGTACTTGCCGCCGGCGTATTTCCGGACGTAATACTGTTGGTACCACGCATGTCAAATGCGGATATAACAGCGTTGACAGCAACAGTCAAAACCATCAACGTCAAACAAATGTTGTTCCATATATTGGCTTTCCCTTGATCTTGTTGCTTGTTTATATTAAGAGAGGACCCCAGCAGGACGCAAATAATACCTTGGATCAGCTGATGGAGTTATTGGATAACGGAAACAAAAAAGAAAAAAGAAATAATAATAAATGGGAGCGTCAACTAAAGATAATTAAACAAAGTAATTACACCATGATAATAGAATAAATAATAAAAATGGTTCAATGTCCGAAAATAATGGTGATTATAAAGTAAAAAAATAATGGAGACATCATCTGGATTTTTAATGGATATTATAAGATTACAGGGATCTGGAAATATTGAAATGGGATAATTTTGGTACAGCAGGATCGAAACCGAAAGTCATTTTAACGACGTCGCAAAAGGTGGCGCCAGTGGCGACTGCCAAAGCGGCGTGATTAGCCAATTGGACTCGTCGAACAGTCTCGTTCCGTTTGAGGTCCAGCATGATCAGCAACACACCCAAGATGACTCCCAGAATCTTATCTCGTAATGATTGACGATATATTGATTATTTTTATTTAATGACTCGGAAATGCAAACGGCCCGATCGTACGACTCGATTTGAATGTCTTTTCTTTATTGGTTACGTTTCCTCCGTTCTCTCCATCCTGTGTGTTAGCAGTTGGAGCGGCTGATTACTGTGCTCCATACCGAAACCGGAAACCAGCACGTTCACCAAACTGATCAGAAAGACACCGACGAGGATCAGATCATTTAGAATCAAGGCGGCCCGATGATCCCTCTCGCGATTGATGTCTAATCCACCGACGATTAGATAGAGTATACCCACGACGGCCTGTGCAACGATTTGTCTCTAATTTCCGGCTGAGCAATGATTGGCGTCTGCGCCTGCGAATTGATCCAATTGCACTGAACTTCCGGTAATGCACGTATATTTTTCAAATTGAGATCTAGATTTGAACGAACTATTTCACCATTTAATTTTGCCTCTCAAATGATTCTAAGCCTGCGCAATCGTATCGGAGGATAACAAGGCTGCCAATCCCGTCGGATCGAAGGCAGCGATCAGAAGATTGTCCAAGAAGACGACGAAGCTTAGTGTCACTCTCAATCGGCCAATCCACTCTACGGAAATTGCGTACTTGGCGTCCTCCATCCTGCAGTCTCGCATTAGGTTTAGCGAGAGAGACAGTAATCCCGACAGGATCTAACCTCCAAAAAAGTATAATCACTCTTTCTTTTCTTATTTATTATTCCATACGTTTTTAGCATATTGAGCGTTTCGAGTCGACAATTGGACCAATTGCAATCCGATCACGAACTAATCAACAATAACTATTATACTTAAAGATTATAAAACAGCTCTTTCATTTAAGTGGTGCATCTTGATTGTTTTGCTGTACATACACTCTATGACAATTAATAGTATTTGTAAAATGATACCTGCAATCCAATGGAGACGCATATCAGCGACAGCATCAAAATATAAAATTCATGTTGAGTTCCGACCTGTAAAAAAATGTTAGTATGTAAAACTATGTAAGTTTTGTTAAAACATTTTTTTTATCAATGCCTAAATGCACATCGTAAAAGCGTATTAATCGAGATTCTTAAACGGCATTAAACCTTTGAATAGCAGTCGATATAAATTTCTCTTGTGACTTAATGACAAATCATTGGATTGCACGATCTGAGTGTTGCGTATATTGTGGCTTTGTTGTCAGTCCTTTTTTTCCCTTTCGTTTCCTTGAAAATAATCATTAATCGCAAAACAAAACAAGAAGCGCAGATTTTCACCTACGCTCGAGTAATTTCTACGCTTGGAGAGATTTGACGCAGTAGGATGTAAAATGAAAGAAAAATTAACCATATTGAACAATGAATCTTACCTGCAATATGTATTTCAGCTGGGATGCATTGGCAGTGAGGAGGGCAATGTCCAGCATACCCTGTGCAATTGTTTTCTTTGTTGCGTAACGATTTGCATCGAGCGATTTGACCTTTGAAGAAAGAGAGAAAGAAAAATATAAATTTCACAATGAACGATTGCATCGATAAAAACAAAACGTTTGTGTAACAAGTATCGGAGACTTACAATAGTCTCGGCAATATCTAGTATGGTCATTTTTGGATGTTTAGTATTTAATCTGCATTCACTAATAATTCCCAGATTCGTATGCACGAGCAAATAAATAATAAAACAATAAATAACCGTTTCGATCTTGATAGGTGAAACAAGGTAACACGACTGATTCGATAAATGAATTTTGCTGGCTTAAGCAATGCATTATGGGTGGGATATAACAAAAAAAGTGAAAAGGACAAAGAAACTGGAATGACTTCATTTCGTGAGGTGAAGTGTGATTATACGCTTTCGTTCATTTTGTACACCATTTCTCGTTTTTCGATGACGTGTTGTCTAGCCTCCAACTGGATTCGAAGCCGAACAGGACGTGCGACGAGGTCATTGCATAATTCTGCATTTAATTATAATCCAAGCAATCCAACTTGATTTTACCGAATTGTTTGCGAACTTGATGCACAGTTATTTGTGAGTTAAATTACGCAATCCGATGACTTGAGTCAAGTGAAGACTCATCAACAGACAACAATAAAGATTTAAAAATAATGATCTACGTATCCTTGGTAAACAATATTTTCGTATAGGGAACATGATAAAAATTGAATAAATAAAAAACTGATGACTTAGGATTCAGTGGTTGTTAGTGTCTTATCTGTTTTGATATCGTATTAATAGAAGACAAATATTGTTGAGTAGGTATGATGAATCGTAAAGACCGCGATTAAATGAGTCATTGAGTATCCATATTTTTCAAAAGATTTAATCCATTCTTTTGTCCAGCGTATAGATTGATATCTCAATTCCTTTATGCATTGTTTGATAAATCTTTTATGCTTACAATGTCGATGATGGTTCTCAAGCTAATGTCGGCCTTGTCCTGCTTTTTAGTCTTTTCGGATTCCGGATTTTCCGTGAGAAGTTCCTTACTTCCTGAGGTTGTCTCGTTGTTTGCGACTGCGATATTTTCTACGGCATTTTCGAACCTTTGCGAGTTTCGATTATCCACGATCGATACACTGAATACTTTGGAGTTTCGATTATCCTGCTTGTCACTGGCCGTCGATTCGTTAACTGCGATTTCACTTTCTGGATGAAAATTGTCTTGATCATTTGAACTGGTCGCTGGCACTTCCGAATTAGCACGTGAAATTCTAGCGTTAGAGAACTCCATTACTTCTGGTTCGTTTCTAAAACGTTCCTCTGTCCGAGCAGACGACGCTCCGTGAATCGGTTGGGACGGTTTTGATTTTTCTAACGGATCCTCGTATATATCATCGAAATCATCCCCGCCCGAAGCCAATTTGCCAAATTGTGACGGTTTCAAATTATTTTCAATAACTACTTTCGAACGCGACATGATCCGCTGTAACGTAATTATCCAAGTAAAATGTTCAGTTACCCGTTCCGATGTTTTTTTTTCTTTTTTTTTTTTCGTAAATTACCAAAGATTCTCACTATCATCCATTTAACGAAATGCACAAGAGAAAAATTCAACGTTTATTTATATAGGAGAGAAAAATATTTGAATTAGCCAATCCCGGTTTCCGAGCGACTGTCACTCCTGCACCCGTTTCTTCTCGACTGATTGGTTGGATCAATAACCCACGCGACGATTCGCTACTGCCGCAGGATTCGAAATCGCCACTCAACTTCTACTGCCCCCTTTTTTTCCATTTGTATCTTCGCGCTTCTTTCGCTTAACTCTAAGCTTTCTATTGTTGCAATATAACGGTACTTTAACTGCTGAAGTAGCTTGAGCTAAAGATTATCATTTTATGATAGCTGTCAATAACTCAATTAGATAACGATAGCATGGTGGAATGATGAGAAAATAAAGATATCACGATTGCCTTTGGCAATTAATTAAAAATTTACACGAATATAATCAACGAATACCAATTCTGAGATTCCTGAATAATTATACTTTCACAAAAATCTCGTTCCTTATTGCATAATTTATTCTTTTATCGATAATGATTTACCGTAATTTTGTCACATCATTATAAATTCCTCGTGTAATCATTGCACAATTCCTGAAGCGATTCAAGGAAGTTTGTTTATTTTAAGCAAATCACTTCCTATCCAATTCCACATGATTTGCAATTAAACATCTTAACCCTCGACTTCCACAAATATTTTTTAACACCAGATTCCAAAAAAAAAAGAAGACTGCGAAAATAGTTTAATCTGTCCTTCAGGAGCTTCCTGTTTAATTTTTTTAACTCTCTACAACATTAACATAAAATAGAAAACATAAATGAAACTCATCCTGTGCAAAGTATATCTCGTAGTGAAATGTAAAAAAACATACTAAGCTGAGGGTCTTATTCACACTGTAAAAGTTGTATTCTTTCACTTCCTGGGCGTTTATCGATCCCCAATAATAATTGCATAGCCATTGTAAATAACTATTAATCATGTCACGTAACATGTTTCAACTACAGTTACCTTCCACAGAGCGTATATGAATTTATAACTATTGCATGAACATCTTTGACCCTGGCATAGAACACAGAGTTCACCTAGATACGTATATGGGAAATGACGCAGAGATATCGACTAAACGTAACATAAAAGAACTTGTAAATATTTCCTATACATTTCTCGCGATTCGATCAATAACGATAAAGGAATTAAATAAATAAAAGTGCTTGCCCGAAAAAGAAGTAGGAATAAAGGAAAAGAAAATCAAAGTATGACTAAGTGAAGTGGTTGGTCAATTCAAAAAAATGAAATCCATCTATTGTAAAAAAAAGTTTACTTACCCCAGACATATTTCCATTTTCAGCATTCATTGGTGACACAGTGGTGGTAGCCATGACGGCAATGATTTCAATAACTCGTAAACGAATAAAAATAAAATATAATCAACTGGGACTCTATTTCGAAAATCCGCCCGGGCACGACCGGCCGAACGTTCACGAAACCAGATTACGAATTACAATACGGAAAGGATCGTAGTCCACCGACAAATATCACTCTTCTCAAGACGATCGGGCAGCCACCAACTAGATAGTCTTTCTAGAGCTCGATACCGATTTTATCTTACAGGTATATATATTTAATGCCGAGGCGTACTGGATCACGAATCGTGGGAAAAAGCCCGCGCTCTTTCGACTCTGCCGATTTATTTACCGTTGCATAGTGCTACGACTGTCCCCTCGTTCTATTGGTCAGTTCACTCGAGAGCAAATTCTCAATAGAACTTGATGACTTTCACTAACACCTTCCTCGATGGAAACTGGCAGCTGGAGGAAACAACCAGCAAACCAACAACCACCGCAGGATGCCACCAACTGCAGGCAGGATCGAATGTTGTGCACAGGAATAGTCATGGCAACGGATAAAATCACCCGGTATAACCAATTGCTTGGTTAGGAACTGACAACTGGTAACTGACGTTCGTCCGAATTATCACAGACGTCCAGTTGTTGCTGGATTATCAAAACTGGTCTTTCGTTAAAACCGAACAACAACTCGTGCGGCACTGATAGCATCTCTTAAACTTTCTTCAGGCTCTCAGGTACCACTAACGTCAATTGACGTTGTTTCATCATCGTCAGAAATAACTGTTTAATCATCCTGTATAATTATGATAGAGGTAAATAAACGTAGTCAATATTACTTGAAACACTATACATTTTTTTCTGTTGTTGCTTTGAAAATTTTTATGTAATTGTTGTTTATTATTATTTTCAAAGCAATCATGTCCGACGGTGTATCAGCTGGACAATGAATTTTCATTTTTTCAGCTATAACTTCACAGTCGTACTTTATCATTTGCTTAGGTATAGTATCTTTTATGATCATTCAATCGAAATAACGTACTCGAAATATCTGACATATATATGTATACGCATTTCATGGATATTCTTACAAATCAACGGATACACTCTTTCATACGAATGACCATTCTAAAACATCTTTTTATTTGTATTTTTTAATTCCGTTACAGAGCCAACACTGCATCGTTTATTTTCACTTTAGGAACGAATGGTAAACCGCGAATGTCTCGTAAAATTGGACATTTTTCTTTTTCCTTAAACTTCGAGTCTGCCATATTTTATATTCAGTACTACAAGATTACTTGATAGACTATAATGCCGTTTACTTAGATCATACATGACGCTCCACTTATTTCAAAATCCTTAACTGCTTTTCTTTTCATTTTGCACTTTTCCACTATCTTAAAACACCGTTGGACACGATAGATGGACGCTTGGTTGGCAGCGCTGGACTAGAAATGATTCGTCAAAGGTATTCAATGATAATCACTTTGAATAATCATTTCGATCATCGTGGACGAGGCAGTCGCGGTATATAATATTTTGAAATGGATTGCAGTGTTTCTCAATAAAGTTCATTCAACTCCGATTCACTTGAACGCGCTTCGACCGAGTCTCTTATTTCCGTTTATGCGCGAACGAAAGAAAAATCTCCTTAAAGACGCAATGAAAAGAAATTTTACGTTTTTTTTTCTGGTCACCATGTCGAGTCTTACAATTTTTAAGCACTTAGAGACATTGGTGATCGATCGATGACATTGTTTTCTTTGTTTCTTTTCTTTACACTTAATCATAAATTATATAGGTTAAAAATTGTGTCTTCGTGTTGCAGTGCTGAAGAGTGGGGATTTACTTTACATAGTAGGTACACTGACTCAAGGAGGTATACGCAGTCGATATAAAACAAAAAAAATAAAATAAAATGAACTGAATAACAATTAATAAAGTCCGCGTCGGCATAGGTTTTTTTCTTCAGAATATCTATGAACTCCAGATGCAAGGGATTCGACAATCTTTAGATTCAAAACGCAAAGGAATACGTAAAACGATACAATAGAGTCAGAGAAAAATTGCTTGGCTTTTGAGTAGCTGCCATATGACAATTGGTTGAATTTGAAAAATCATGGAAAACGAAGAAAGCTTTGCGCGATGATAAGCAATTCAGTTACTCCTAATGCATTGTCGGGAAAATAATGAAAAAGATGGGGTTAGTCAATTTTCTGAACGAAATACTAATTGTACTTATGCACAGTCCGAGACAGATGTGGCCTGGTCAACGATATAAAAAAAAAAACTATCCAAAAAGTCCAACTTTCTAAAATCTACGAGGAAACAGGATTGCTTTTGGAAAAACATTTAATTTGACTTTTCTCAAAACGCTTTCTCGCTGATTATCATTACTGTGTCACAACCAGCAGAAAGTCTTAACTAATCGTAGGCCGTTAACTAGAAGTCAGAAAAAAAAATGCAAGAACGAAAAAAAATATTTTGTGAGTGTATGCGTCTCGCTTAAATTATATAATAAATCGCCAAGTAGCGCCGTGTAATTCGGTTGCAACGTAGGAAGAAGTAGTATTCCGCGATGCTTCAGGTATAAAGTAATAAAGGCGATCGTAAAATTGCGCATCTCGTTTCCTTTTGCGTCACAAGAACGCGCTGGTCACTTCAGCGATCACAGCGCCAAGTACGGCAAGAGTAATAAAAAATGGTCAGCCTATCAGCGTTTCACGAGAACTGTCGTTCATCTTGTGCCTCTTTATGGGGTTTTCTTTACACCTAAAGAGGATATGACTATTCATTTTTACTTATTTCCTTTCCTTTTCTTTGCCGTTGCAAAAGACCAAGCAATGAACGATTCAATTGACCTTGAGTTGGTTGATTAATTGGTCTCCAGTTGACTCTGCCAGTAATGCGCCTGCATCGAGAGTCACTGATTGTTGCTCGGCTTTAATGGCGTCTTGCAATGTATCGCGTCTGGAAATCGCTCGTGGTAACGTTCCAGTCTTAAGTATTTCACAGTCACCAAGCTGCCTGTTAAGATCAAATAAAACCAGAGTCAAAAATCTAAACCGACACAATCATAGCAAGGGTGAAGAGAAAAGCATCAAATATTTATAACTCACTGTCAAACCACCATCCATGAAGAGATCTGTAGGCCTTTCCAGCATCTTCCTGAGACATGCACTTCATGTAAACGCACCCTTCCCGGCTGCCACGATCCACTCTGATATGAAGAATCTTCACTCGGTCACCGCACTTCTCTAGTATGGCGTCCTGGACCTTAGTCTCCCAGTCTTCTTCGAACTCACTATTACGACAATCCCATCGATATTGAAATTAGCCATCCAGTTGAATACCAAAAGATGTGTGAAAAATTACTATACTCACACGTCAGGGTCGAACATGTGTCGAATCTTGAGGCACGGAGTCGGTGAACACGTCAGACTATTGACAGAACCTTCCATCGTTTCAAAAGCCTGTCCTTGCCAGACTTTTGACTTTTTATTTGCGCATTGTGATACCTGCGAGTTGGAGACGTTCAGGTTGTTGCTTGGCAGCCAACGCCACACGTGAAACTCCTCGCCGGCCACTTGTTGCACTTCTCTTCTGACACTGGGATCATACGTTTAATTATTTTCATTTTTTTTTTAATAGTTCAATCTAACTATGGCTGCTTTCCTTACCGAGATTCATTCTCGTCCAAAAATGTGACAGCCTTTTCCCAAATACTGCCCATCTTCTTGCGATCCTTGGGCGGTATCAGCTCATCCCGGACGTGATTGATAGCTAAGTACGTTTCCTGGGTCCCACCAGGACTGGACGTTACAGTATTGTGATGATGAGCCTCGATCATGCCAATGATATCGCTCACCAACTGAAAGACTTCCTTTTCCGAGCGCTTTTTGTATCTGAGATACCAGAGGACAGATTTGTGCGTGCAAATAACTGCCAGGGCACCTAAGAACATATTTATCTTTGTCACGTGATACCAATAAAACTGAGAGCCAATAACTCAAGCTCAATTCTATTATTTGATTTGTTAAAGCTAAGTAAAATCAACTTGAAAAATTATACAGAGGGTGTCAAACTAATTTACTGTAACAATCATATACATGATAACGAGAACATGTTATTCAGCCGTAGCTAATCGGGTAATAATGAGTCAGTAAGAAATTTACCGATGGCGACGATAAGCAGCGATGAGAAGACCGTGTAGATTTTGTTCTTGATGTAACACTGCATCGGGAGCTCAGGATTTAGTATTACCATACCGATATTTCCATCAACGCGTGACAGCACGACCTTCTCCTGAAAATTGTATTTATAAGTCACGCGACACTCTTTTTGTTACTGATTAAAGCAAATGATTAAAACTCACCATCGAATCTAAGACCTGACCAGGGCCTTCATCATTCACCTCCATAAGGGATATCCCCCATTTTGGGTTGTTCATGGCGAGCACTTGAGCGTTGTTTAGATCATTCTCAATTTGAAATTTTGTCTAAAATAATACAAATGTTGGTAATTACAAAATTTTATAAGCTTATTAAACTAAATTTACCACTTTGTTGGTGAACATGTTGATAATCATTTTGTTCGTTAAGTATGGCACTTCGTCGCTATACTTGCAGGCAGCTTCTATAGCCTTTTTTGTTAAAATTGGTTGAAGTTTTTTAAGCAGGTCCAAAACATCCTCCAGGTTCTCTTGCAGAACACAGTTGACACCAGGTCTGGAGTGGTCGGGATCCTCCAACAAGCACAGAGGCACGTTGCTGTCTATAAATTGCAAATGAATTCTACAGTTAATTGGACAGTCTATAATTTCTTATTCAATTTCATGTTAAGTTTTTCAAATGTTAAATTTACAGCTTGGCTCAATACCTTTGTTCCATTCGCTCAAAGTGTTTTGTAAATTCAACAATAAGACAATGTTTCATTTACTTGACAATTAGTACACTCTATTTAATTGAATTATTTTAATTAACATGACTTGTAGCTCGACATTTTTAAAATAATAAAGAAATAAGAATGAAAAAGTATAAAACAATATAGGGTACCATTTTTATCTAAGCGGAAGTAAAAAAAAAACGTGAACGCAAGGAAAAGGAAATGAAAATGCTCAGACCGATATCACCACAATGTATAACATTTATTGTTCACATTTAGAAAAGAAATACATCGATGATAGGTAACCTAACGACTATATATCTCCTATCGAGCTGTATTAAAATGAAAGTTTTCAGACCCTGAACCCCGAATAGTGTTAGGGAATTATTAAAAATAGAAAGATTATACTGTGTAATAGATCATTATTAAGCCAAGAGTTTCATTTCTCATTTGACAAAATGATTATTTAGCTCCGCTCAATTCTATGTAAAATGTAAGATTATTTTGATCAATCCAAATACGGAAATTTTATAACAGAGTTCTGTGTAAAATTAGAACAGATAAATATCACCACATACTTCATTATTAGCCACGCGATTCTTGTCATTAGAAAAGTTCATAAGAGATTATTCAGATAGTCATGGACACGCTATACACAGTTTTAAAGGTGTGACAGAACAAAAGAGAGACAAAGAGAAAGACGTTAATAAACTCTAGTTAAAAGATTTCTCATTATTATTTCTGCGTATGACATTTATACGTGCATACCTCCCCAACATTAAGTAATATGGTGGTGGATTGTGCTTTAACCGGAATACCTACCCGGAGAAATTGCTGGTATCTCTTCAGTTTTGCTACCGAGGCCGAGGTACATTATCGCCAGTAAGCCAAAGAAAAGGGCCAGGACAACCACCAGGACCACGGACACCATGTTTTGATTATTCTTCGCCTCCTTGGTCTCCGTTGAAGATTTGAATGTCCTTACGATGTCTCTTGGCTTTTCAGCAGGTGTAGTCGCATACCTTGAGCTCAACAAGGGTTGTCTAAATAATTTAATTATTATTTGGTATGGTGCCTCTTATTGAAATCTATCACATATTAAATTCTACGAACCTTGTATTCGACGTCGTGTACGAGGATCTCAGTGATGAGAAATGACCATTTGAGTCAGTTTCCTTAACTTCGTTTAAAACTGGAGATGGTGTGTGTCCAATAACCGAACCTAAAATAAATATGATTTTATGTTGTGCCATACTTAACAAATGTATTATTGCTAAAGAATTTTGAAAAATGAAAAAGCAGTTTTGCGCTTCCTTAATAAAGTGTTTAGAAAAAATGAAAAATGTAAGAGATTATGAGATGAGGAATTTTCTAAATAGTTGAAAATTAAACATTCATTATTAAAATACTCACTCGTTAAAGATGATCTTGATACTGAAGGAAGATTCGCAGTGGTACGAAGACTGAGCCTTCTTGTAAACTCAGACAAATAAGGAGTCTCAAAATTAGACAAAGGATTATCCTTGTTAGAATCCTCTCGTATATAAAGATCTTCCTTCATAGGGTGTATAGGCGATATATTAGGTTTAAACGGTGGGGCGACATATTTATCATCTAGAGTAGTGCGAACATGAGGTTGTGCTCTCCATTCATAAGGATCAGCAGAGGCACGGTCTTGCATTTTAGAATCATATTGCTTTCCATGATCTAATCCAAACTTGTTAATAGAATATGTTTTCTCTCCCTCCTGAGCAATGTCAGAATCAGATCCTGTTTCCAAACCATCAGTGGCACTTAGCTTGTACGATCTTGACATTTTTTTCTGTATACTCTTTGTGACAGATTTACTAGTTAGATCAGGAGAGGCTCGATCATAATCTGAACCTAACGAAGCCTGGTTGTCAGAATTCCTTGATAGTGACTTCACAGGACGTTTAACCGGACTCCTTGGCACTGTCATTGTAATGGGAGCAGTTGGTGCTGACGGAGGTGGAGGCATCGGATTTGCCAATGTTTTTCTTCTATTCGAGCTTGTTTGTTTTTTGGTAGGAATTGTATTTGATGGTGCATCATCATCAGTATCATCGCTGCTGTACCTATAACATTTTAAACAAAATAAAAATACACAATTTTGCCACCAGATAAATATTAACAAAACTTCAGCATTTATAAATAGTATAATCGACATAACGATTCTCTAAGTTATATGGCTTTGAAAATGAACATAAACCGGCAACTTAAAAGTTGTTTCAAATATTAAATAATTACAACAGGAATTGTAATATTACCTAGCAGCAAGGGAATGCCGCGAGCCAGTACCGCCGCGTGTCTCGATAAGATTCTTCAACTTCTTCACGAGGATTTTTCTTGTGGTCTGGGTGACGGGGCCGACAGGATATCCGTATTCGGCAAGCTTGCTCCGCAGCTCCGAGTCACTTAATATTTCCACGGACATTTTTGTTATGATTCTACCTCAATTTGCAGTTGTTCCAATAGAAACGGTCAACTGGACGCTCCTAACTGCAAAGGTTCAGCTTCCTCTTCCAGTTATATATGTACCAGAAATCAACATGAAGAGCGACGCGGTTATCGCGGTATGACCAGTTTTTAAGAATTACACCAGACTATAGCAAAGCACTCGTTCTCACGATTTTCGCGTCTTGGCGTAACCGCCGCGCTCCGTGTGCGATCACGCAGGTTTATTACTATTATACACAAGAGCGATTTCGCGCAGTCGCCTCAACGATACCTAATCGCTCACGCCACGCACTAGCCTTTACGAATATTCGGTTCCTTCCACTGGAGCCAAAAAATGGCGCACTTTTCTAACGGCCGTTGAGGCGCGTCTGTTTTGTGAATGTTACATTTCCATTGAGCGATCGTATACTGCTTAAATTAAAGCTGCCAATTGGTTGATTGGCGCGTTAATGGAAATAGCTTTAAGCCATGTATGCATGGACGATGCTTGTTTGTATTCAGCTTCAAATTACGTGTGCAGAATCTAGGGGAATGTGTAATAAAATACTAGACGTACAGAATGCATTAAATACGAAGTTACTCCTAAAATTGCAATATCATAGTAGAGGAGAAATTACTAATCAAGTTTGAGTTAAATAGACTGGAAAGATCCTGCCATGGATGCTGCATATAATGGCCTGGTTTGCATCGCGCGTACTCAGGTCTGCTCGTCACGTTTTATTCCCATCAGAAGTGGCGAGACGGATAAACCTTAATACTTGATACTTAAGATTTAATAAGGATAAACCTTAATACTTAATACGATCGCTGTTACCTATGTTGTGTAATACAGAGATTTTATATTTGTGTTTTTCACCGGCTCCAATGCTGACAGATGAATCCAAGTGTGTGATTTCGTGATTTTTCACTATAACTAAAAATGTCCCTAGTAAAATTCATTGCTAATCAGGGTTGCCTCCGCCAACCTGTCAAAAGGCAGTAAAATGGCTATCTACTGGGCGGTCAGGGATTAGATTTCTAAGATGTCCTAATTCAATGAAGAGTATATTACAATTAAAATAATTGAGTCTGGTCTACGAGAGAAGAGAATTTCACAAGAAAGTTGAAAACATTTTGATCCGTTTTGTTCTTGCAAATACCACAAAAAATGGCTCTTAAAAAAGTCAAGGGTAACTTTGAGCGAATGTTTGACAAGAACTTAACTGATTTGGTGCGTGGTATCCGAAATAATAAGGAGAACGAAGTAGGTACCATGTAATTTATTTTACATAATTTATTGCAAGAATTATTAGGTTCAGCTCTTTTGGAATATAACCTCTTACCTCACAGTACTTCACCAGCTGTCTTATAAAATAATGTTAAATGATTTATTTTTACAGGCAAAATATATTGCACAATGTATGGAAGAGATAAAACAAGAACTTCGTCAGGACAATGTTGCTGTCAAAGCAAATGCAGTAGCCAAGCTCACATATGTATGGAATGTATATTCCTTACTTCTTTTCATTACATGCATTACTACTTTGTATTTATGTCTTTAGCTCCAGATGCTGGGATATGATATAAGCTGGGCTGGCTTCAATGTAATTGAGGTCATGTCTTCAGCAAAATTCACTTATAAACGCATTGGATATTTAGCTGCAAGTCAGGGATTTCATGCAGACACTGATGTAAGCACTTTCACTATGCACAAAATAATGTTCAGAAAGGATATTGAAAGTTGGTCAATGATCTGACAACCTTTGTATGAATATATCATTTGCTGATAAGAATGAGAGTGTGACCTATGAAATTGCTAAATTTTGCTTATATATCAATTAAATTTTTTTAGCTCCTTATGCTGACCACAAACATGATTCGTAAGGATCTGAACAGTCAAAACCAATATGATGCAGGATTAGCACTGAGTGGTTTGTCCTGTTTCATAAGTCCAGATTTAGCTCGTGACTTGGTCAATGATATAATGACATTATTGACATCAACAAAACCATACTTGCGAAAAAAAGCAGTTCTAATGATGTACAAAGTATTCCTACGCTTTCCTGAGGCACTGAGACCTGCATTTCCCAGGTTAAAAGAAAAGCTAGAGGATCCAGACAGCGGTGTCCAGTCAGCTGCTGTGAATGTTGTTTGTGAATTAGCTAGAAAAAATCCTAAAAATTATCTGAGCCTGGCACCTGTCTTTTTCAAGCTGATGACAACCTCAACAAACAACTGGATGCTTATCAAGATCATCAAATTAGTAAGTAATTTCCTGTTCCTAATGTATTGGTTGTTTGTTTCTTTTAGAAACACGGATTCCACATTAAGAGACTGAGAAAAAAACAAGAAAAATAATATTCATCTTGTTTCACGCGTTCAGTTTGCCATCGTAACCCTGATTGAGCCAAAAATGGGTCGACGTCTCACTCAACCACTTATAGATTTGATATCAAGGTTCTCCATACCGATTACGTTGAATTATCGCGCGTAGTGTATCGATTTGATGAAAATTTAGTGCTAGTAAATGTAGTTTTTATTGATCAAGATATATCTGTAATATAATGCGCGATAATGAATGCAGCTTGCAGGTAAAATTTTAATCACAAGTTACGGATTCATAGCATATGCAAATGGAATCTTTAAAATAATCCAAATATCCATTTTATCTTAGCATATTGTACGTGTGCACATTCTTATTATTATAATACTTAAAAGGCACCATGTAATGTTTTCAGTTTGGCGCATTGACACCCCTAGAACCTAGGCTTGGAAAAAAATTAATAGAACCCCTTACCAATCTCATACACAGGTATTTAATTGTATAAGTGTGATTGATCTATTAAAATTATTAATAATAGCCGAGCAGTAGCGTTATTAAGAAGTAAAATTACATAACTTATAAGAACACTATATTGATTCTAGTATTTTTGTTTAATTGCTATCATGCTCCTGCTATTGGTAATCAGTATATTAAATTAATTAGAAGATACACAATAATCCTAAAACAAACTTCTATATATTGCAGCACATCAGCTATGTCACTACTTTATGAGTGCATAAATACAGTGATTGCAGTTCTAATCTCAATATCATCTGGAATGCCAAACCATTCAGACTCGATACAGCTATGCGTACAGAAATTGCGAATCCTCATAGAAGATTCTGATCAGAATTTGAAATACTTAGGGCTGCTGGCTATGTCTAAGATCCTGAAAACGCATCCAAAAAGCGTACAGGCACATAAGGATCTGATAATGCAGTGTCTCGATGATAAAGACGAGAGTATAAGACTGCGTGCCCTGGACCTTCTCTATGGAATGGTATCCAAGAAAAACTTGATGGAAATTGTGCGAAAGCTTATGGTTCATATGGATAAGGCTGAAGGAACTACGTATAGGGATGAATTGCTCTCGAAGATCATTCAGATTTGTTCGCAGAACAATTATCAATTCATTACATACTTTGAGTGGTGTGTATTCTTTTTTTAATACGATTCTTTATATATTGATTGCTCTTGAAATTCTTCATTCACCGTTTTAAGGTATATATCTGTGCTGGTTGAGCTTACACGAATGGAAGGTACCAAGCATGGAAAGCTTGTGGCTACTCAATTGTTAGACGTTGCGATTCGTGTACAGGCTATTAGAAAGTATGCTGTCCAACAATGTGCCTTATTATTGGATAATGCACACCTACTCATCGGTGGACAACCTAGAGCCACTATGTCTGAAGTACTTTACGCTGCAGCTTGGATATGTGGCGAATTTTCCAGGTGACTTTAAATTGTTAATTATTTTCCAAGATTTATATAGAGACTTGAGACAGACTTTTTGAATCCACAGTGAGCTTGACGATCCCTTGGCTATTTTATGCTCTATGCTCCGATCTCAGGCTGCAAATTTACCAGGTCACATTCAAGCCGTTTACGTTCACAATATTCTGAAATTGGCTGCAAGCACTTTGAGCAAAGCTGAGAAAGATGGTGATGTCGAAACGATGGAACAGGTACGATAGATATCTTGATCTTATGTGACAAGTTTTTGTGATGACATTGATCTTGTAGATTTATGCACTGAAGGAGAAGATATCTGCCTTCGTGTGCAGTGGCGATTTAGAGGTGCAGGAACGGTCTAGTTCAGCTTTGGTGTTATTAGAGTGTCTTAAAGAAAATCCTGGTTTGGCGAACGAATTGATGGAGACTTTTGTTGGTGAACTGAATCCTGTTGCTCCCAAAGCGCAAAGAAAGGTAATTTAAGAAAGAAATATTTGTGGAAATTTGTTACTGTGACTCTTCAGATATGGCATGCAGCACGTTAATTGTGTGCAGGTTCAAATTCCAGAGGGCCTGGATCTTGATGCGTGGATCAATGATCCGCCATCTGACAGTTCCGACTCGGAGGATCCAGACATAAATGATATTTTTGTAAAAGCGGATAAGTCGAGCGAATTTTATGATAAGCGCAAATCGATAGAACCGACGCCTGAAGAATTGCAAGAAAGACGAGAGGCCAGGAAGTTGGAACAACAAAACAATCCGCACTATCTAAAAGGATCCAATACTTCTGCAAAGAATTCAAGGCAGTTTAACAATGCAGGCGCGGATAACAATGAAGAAGAATTCGATAAGATTCCTGTTGCTGAGTTAAATATACCAGTAACTTTGAATGTTCCAGGATTCGCCGATTCCAGTAAATACTTGAGTTTGAGTGCAAGCACCGAAACGTCTCACAAAAAAAGACATTCGAAGAAGAAGAAGTCTAAGAAAAGTATGAATAACTTTTTTGTCAGCTTTCTGACACAATGTATTGAAGGTACAGCGGACACTTTTCTTTATTTCAGGCATCCATTTGAGTAGTTCCGATGAGGAACAAGATGAAAAATATCCATCACAACTCGTGAACACAGGAGCTGGAGAATTACCTCCAGGTGCTGAACTGAGCGACGGTGATGATTTTGAAGTCGGCGACGAGAATGATCCTCATCGATTTTTGGATTTCGATCTGGATGTGCCGCTGCGTGACGACGAGCGTCTCTCTTATCTGGAGTTACAGAATCCTAATAAATATATGAAAATCTTGAGGACGGATGACGAAAAAGTTAAGAAGGAAAAGGTAATATTTAATTAAATTTTTCATTGAATTTCTTTCTAAACAATCTTTCTTCTAAACAACTATTATTCGCTCTGTGTTAGAAGGGACATAGAAAGTCGAAAAAGAAGAGCAAAGTTCTGAAGGAGAAAAATGAGAAGAATGGAAAGACTGGCGAAGAAAATGCTAACGACACAGATCTGTGGCTGGCAAGTGACACGTCGCCCGAGAAGGTACGAGATTCAGGTGCCGGTGACTATGTCGAAGTTCCAGAAGCAACGACGACGAAGTCAGAAAAGTCAAAGAAAACGAAGAAGTCGAAGAGTCGCGACAAGCAGAAGAAGGGAAACAATGAGGAGGATTCGAAGCACAGAAAGAAATTGAAAAAGTCAAAAGACAGAAGCACGAAGAAGTCATCCGGGTACGAGGAAACAGCTGGTATTTCGACTCCGTCCAAGGAAATTTTACCAAATTTGAATAACGACTCCAACGGGTCGGAAGTGGGTACGACTGCTGGTCAGGGGATGTCCATGTACGAGGAACTTGTTAAGGACAAAACTATCAAATTAATGTACGAGTTGAAGCAACTGCCTCATGAAACAGACAGACTGATAGCCTCCATTATGCTTATCAATGACGGTGAACATCTTGTAAAGGAAATGGATTTTGATGTGTCGGACACGTCTACATTGAAGCTAGTACGAAGCGTGAGTTCAGTCTTTGCGCTTTCTTGATAAATTTTCATTTCATGAATTTTTAATAAATATAAAAACTTTACAGCCTGGCGATGAATTTGGTGTGAAACTGCGTTTCCAGCTGGCACCGAAAACTACAGGTGAAGCACAATTCGCTATTTTGGTATCAGATGTGACGTTTGCTCAAAAATTAAAGGGCACCTTCACCTATATGGTTGAGAGTCCTTTGGGAATCGTACAGGAGAAGCTTGACTTTACCATGTACTTGCCATGCAGTAGTTTTATGGTGGGACGCTTGTCGCACAGAGACATTCTCACGGAATTGCTAGGCGGTGGCCAATTGACTCAAAAAATTCGAAAAGAATTCGAACCCCATCAAGAATTCAGTCAAATATTGAGTAGTGTTTGCTACAAGTGCCATTTAACACTTGTTGAACAAGTAAACGACACTGCCTCGGTATATGGACACTCGCTCAAAGGACATCACGTGTGCCTTTTACTAAAACAAAATGTAAGTAGATCATTTTTTTTTGTTTCTTTTCTAACTTTTACAGTTTTTTAAGATTCGTTTCTCAGAGTGCTTTTGGCATCGTGACTTAAAACAACGTAACTTTTCAGAAATCTGGAACATTGACGATTGAAGGCAAAAGTGACAATAACGCCCTCTTGTTGGGTATAATTGATGAAATCTCAAGGATCCTAACTTAACCCAGTTCTTAGTAAAAAAAAATATAAGAGGCGCGTTTTCGCGGCGAAGAATTATTCCTGGCGTCGATAAGTGAATTCCTAATTGCAATTGAAGTAATATCAACAGGAAGTTTAACGCACTTCCGTCAGGCAGCGAAAGTGATGCGAAATTGCTATCGTTGATCTAGCGTTATTGATACTCATATTAATAGTAATGAAATCTTAAAAAGAAATACAGACAAAAAAACAGTAAAATGTAAGCATCGGCTGCCGCTGGATGAATATGTTCAGATGAAAATCAAGATATGAAAAAACGGCGTTGATGACAATGTTCATTTTGACGAAGATATATGAAGATGAACAAAAAAGAAACCCTCGACTGGGCTCTCTAATGAAACTTTGGTCGTAAGATCCATTAAGCGTAAAGATTATAGATGCATACAAATAAATATATATATATATAAATAAAAAAACTAAATAAATAAATATATATATATATATATATATATATAAATATATAAATATACAAATACGTCTGAATTATGTGAAAGACGCGGAAGGTAATAATAATAAACTTTTGCAATTCCTGGGAGTCTGCAATTTAGTTTGCTGCTCATTTTTGAAATGTTATTTTTATAATCTAAAATCGATTACTATGATCGGCTATTCTCCGGAATCCCCTTGCAAAGCTTAGCTGGTTTATTTTTGTAAATAAGAGTTGAACGATGAAAAATTTTATTGTTTTAATATAAGTAACAAATGTAACAGGTACGAATGCAGGCTCACAGCATATATCTATGTACCCAAAAAAAAGTTCTTTTTTATCTATACATTTTAGATTTATTTACAAGTTTTAAGAATAATTCTTTTTAAATATTATATTTAACATAAATTTCGAGGATTGAGATTCATTTCAATGTTCATCTTCTTCAATTTCATCTTCTATAGTTACAGAATTTTTTAAAAATTGTTCTATTTCTAGCATTTAATTTCCATGTGTGTGTTGCATTTTCAAAAAAGACAACTTACGCGTCTTACTTTCCGCTAGATTATATTAGACCTCAAATTTTTCATACAGTTGCGAACAAATTGTTAAAATTGTTAAAATCCAAAAAAAAATCTCAACATTGCTAGGATAGATTGTTTCTACAATTTTAAACGTTTGTTTTTTTTTTTTATACAGCGTTATCTGTGTTCGCCGTATCTGCCTATTAAGCAACGAGAATGATTGTTGTTATCGAGAGTTGTAAAAATTCCCTCTTTATCACATAGAGGGCGATTTCGCTAGATACAAAACTTGTGTAAAATCAGTAATAGTGTCATGCAATGTAGTAAAAAGAAATGAAAACGGCTATTTGAAAATTAGTAATTGCGGCCATTCAGTAATACTTCAACCTGTTGACATTTTCTAAGAGGAACTCTTTAATTTTCCTATATCTCTTATTAGCGTATTTCTTAAACGTACTTGAGCCCGTATTATATTCGTCTCGCCATTTAAAAGCTCGTTCAATCAGAGTTTCTCTGACAAAGACAGCTTCTCCGTATAGAAATCTGAGAAAAAAGTAACAAAAAATTTATTGTATTCAGAGGTATTCAGCATTAAATTATACCTTTCAATGTCTCAATTAAAAGCTTACTTATCTGCATACGGTAGACGGGAGAATTGATTTTGAAAATATTTCGGCAAAAACTCATTAGGATTTTCTACAAGAAAAAGAGCAAGAATGGCTGCCACACCTGCCAGCAGGATTGCGGATCCAGTGCACAAACATACATCAAATATGGCAATGTCGATCTGAAAATTTGTATAAATATACTGTTTTACGTTATTTTCATAAGCATACAAAAATCTACATTTTTGACTTGCTCACAAAAAAGTTGCCGCAATCATACGTAATATCGACTCGTGGTTCGTCATTGGACGTTCCATAATGTTTAAATATAAAATGTGCTAAAACTGATGATATATCTGGATAAGATATGTCAAAGTTCAAAGCCTGGAGAATTCTGCATTCAAATTTTATTAAAATGTTTCCTTTTTCTTTGAATTCATCACCGCCAAATGCTATCATACTTGTTGCCTGTAATTCAATTTTTTAATTATTATTCGAACATAACCCACTCTATCCCAAACTGAACATTGTTTCACTTACAGTAGGAATATTTACATTGTCGCGTTTAATGCTTATCCACATTGCAGCCAAAGCAATTACTTGTAAATCCTCGACGTCAGGTTTCATCGCGTTGAAAGCAGCATCCAATATCTTGACAGTTTGATATAAAATGAAGGGCGGGTCTCCTCGATAGGTCTGCGAAAGAATATTCTCGTGAATAAACAGACATATTTCCTGTCATTCGGTAAATAATTGAATTATAAAAACTTGCTCACGTTGACTCGCATTAAAAAATCAACAATAATTTCTCTTTTTCGCGAAACGACAAAAGGATTCCGCAAATACTTCGCGATTCCTCGTGATTTTTCACGTTCAAATTGCATCTCGATATATTTGTCAGCCTCGTCGAGATCGCACGAAATTTTCGAAACAGCTGATTTGGTATTAGCATCCAGCTGCAATTTGTCCGTTGAAACTTCTACGGAAACGTCCTTCGTGTTCCGCTTATGCAATTCCTTCACCTGAAATTTCAAAAAAATCCTCAATCTGAACCACGAGAAGAGCTTTTAACGTATTTCTCTGACCTTTTCTAAGAAAGGGGGAATCGAAAGGTCAACTGGCGTTATGGAGCCCTCGTTTTGCTGAATGGTAAGTATTCGCGGGTGATAAATTTTCCTCCAATTGTTGTCGCGGCCAGTCGATCCCAACGAGCTTGATTTCACGTTCAACTTCAATTTTCCTTTATCAATTTTCGTCTGAGCTTCGAATTTCGAGGTTGAGGCACTCGAACGACTTTTATTGGCATTTTCATTCTCTTCGTTCCCCGCGAAAATACATTTCTCGTTCGTAAATCGCCGTGACTCGACGTCCGTTTTGCAGTCGTAACTCCAAAGGAGCCTTTTTTCCATAAATTTGACATTTTCAACGCCTCTCTTTGGCTGCTTCGAAGTTAACGAATGATGACGTACTCTGACATTATTATTATTGTTATTATTATTATTTTCATTAATCACTGCGCATACTCCACTTATCTTCTTTTCTACATTTACGCAACTTCTTGTGCTCTCCGATTTGTACATTGACAAACTGTCACTTACACTTGCACTTCGTTTTAATATTTTACGTTTTTCGGGCACTAAATTTTCTTTGTTTTCGTCTTCCCACACGGTAAAGTCTTTTCTCGACGAAGCCATGTTTAACGCTACACTAATAGTTTTAGGAATTTCTTAAATTTCATAAACCGAATAGCTTTGACAATTAAAGAACGAAGCGTTCAGTTCGACATTCCCTAAATTACTGATTAACGTTCAAGACGACTGATAGGATGAATTAAGCGGTACCAAGGTTCAAAGTTTTGTTTACACTTTTTCAATCTTACCAACTTGAAGAAAACTTAATAAACCGACAGCGAGGGATAATATATTGATGGGCGTACGGGACACGGTAACTTTATATTTTATTTCAAAATTCTTTCGCTCTGGCTGCTTTCGTTTTTATAACTTTCGCGATATTTATCGTCCGGTCGTTTGTTTTCGGAGGAAACGATCTTTCCACGTAAAGTATGAGAAGTCCGAGAATAATTCCCAATAGCAAAATAACATTTAACACTACCACATCCCCAATTTCGACAGACACCCACGAATCGCGATGCTGTAAATATATTAAAAAAAAAAAAAAATAAATTGAAATTTTAAAAAATCATGTCATACCGTTTTAATATTTTTTCAAAAAATTCTTACCGATATCCCCTTTACGTTGTAAAATCTCGCGTTTAAAACTCTTTGTAAGATGCCGCCATTTTTAATAATGAGTAAGCTGATAACAAAAAAATCAATATTAATTTAATTAAAAAGTAAGTTATTAAAATATTTACTGTTACTAATTTTTCTATTTTATAATTAAAAGTCACACTCACACGCTATTGATGACACCGCGATAAGGACTTCTCATGGAAACTGGCATTCCTATGGATGCTTGCATCGTCGAATCCAAAGGTTCGATAATGCAATCGAGTTTACTTTTGAAAATCTGATACTGATGTTCCGGCAACATAAACGCATATTTTTCCTCCTTGCAAAGTCTCTTTAAACCGTCTTCGTAGCTCGTGGGTAAATTAGAATTGTCTCGTAGTTTCTTCTCGTAAATCGACTTCACTACGAAATCTAAGGTTGTCTTTGCGGAAACAAAAGGAACGAATTAATACATTACCAAAGACGTACAAAGGTTGTTGCGCAACTGGGAAATTGAAATGGTCATTTACGTACACTGCAGAAATAGAATTCGGAGGAGTTGGCAACAACAGCAAAATCATAAGTGTTGTCCTCGAGTAAGCCAGCCATCGTTGTAAATGGCATTGATATTGTTTTGACAGCAAGGAAACTTATCAGAGCGGCCGAGTAAGCTGCCACAACAACGACAGCTGTCAAGTGAACGATCAGATGAATTATTCTTACAGGATCCAACAACGACGGTTGTATTCCTGAAATTGTATTGCACTTTGACAGCTGGATCTTTGTCTTTGTTGTTGTCGTGTAAGGCTGGGTGTCTCTGTTACCTTGATTGCAGAAAGCACCAAATACGAGTAACAAAATGTGGTTGAACTTTGACGGGGAGTGTTCGAGGTCATTGACATGGGACGACCACATTTTTGACAATGATTTTGCGCACGATATCATGCCACTTGAAATTAATATAATCAGAGCAATAGCGGTCCATATTCCTGCTTTAAACGGCGCCATGTATCCTTCCCACTTCACGACACTTTCCAATGGTCTTTTTATGTAAGTGGTATAGCTGACATAAAATTGTTAAAAATATTTATTTTACTTTTTTTTTAAGTCATCAATCAATTTTAGCGACTAGTTGGTTTTTTCGAAAAATTCCAAAATCTTACCGTGTTACGAAAAGTGGTATTGTAAATTCGGCAACTTCCAATCTCTTTTCGGTAATGGCAATTGGTCCCAGTGCCAAATCCAAAGTTTTGTTACCCAACAAAGACATGACGCCCGCGGATTTTCCAGTTTCTAACACAAAATCCCACTCGTCGATTTCGTAAAAAGTCATTCTGCACGTTAAAAGAACAATTTTGAGGATCGAGCGAGTGTCGAAATTTGAAAAATAAATAAACTCACGTGCAATTCATTCTTTGCTGCAATAATTCCGAAAGAACACCGAAGTATCCCTCGACGCTAATTACATTCTGATCGTCGTCTTTGATCAGTTCGGAAATCGATGGATTCTAATTAATGATTAATTTGATTAATTAAAAATATATAATTAATTAATATTTATTATATCTTACATGAGTGACGCCGACCCTCAGGTACTTTCCATGAAGATTATTTCGTCTGTCGTATAAACCTTTCCGCTTGATATCTGTATCTTCGGTCAAACTGATGAATCCAAAGTTACTGGTCAATAGTGATGAATTTCGGTCCACCCGATAGACTTCGGTTATTTCCGTGATATCGTTTTGCGTTTGAGCGACCATAAATTCGCAGTCGAACGGAATATACAGAGTGTCAAAATATGTTTCGATCTTCGTCCCGTTGCCGAAAAATATCAGCCACGTTGGATAAGACATGTCGATCCATCCTGCAACCTGCTATTTATAGCGGGTTAGAAAATAATTAAGTAAAAAATAAAAAATAAAAATTTATCGAGCAACAGTCATAACCGTTTGTTGCGTCAAAAAATAAATAATAAAAAATTACAAAATTTCTTTTATATATTTACATCTGCAAATCCCTGCCGAAGCTCGTCGCTGTCGTTAAGCAATACGAAAAGCGGCCGTTTTATATGATAATACGCAACTCCAATCTGAAAGATAGCATTTTTTTTTATTAATTTTTTGAATTCACTTTTATCACGTTACTCGTCGTGGCACTTATTTACCTCAGCGACGAAAACATTCACGGACATAATGGCCATGCGTATTCCACTTCCGGAAAATTGGAATTGTAATTTTTTCAGATCCAAACCAATTTTCAAATCTGTTACATAAAATCATCTGTTGAGTCATTCGCGAAATTAATTTTCTTTTGCAATTATTAAAATTCATCCACAAAATGTCGGAGCTACCTTGCGTCTCGCTGGGGTTATCGCTGGCATGCAGAAAAATAATACAAGTATTGTTGAAGAAGTCGTGAACGTATCGCACTACGTGTACGTAAACGGAGAGTGGTTGTATCAGATGGCAATTGGTAATGACAATAGCAAAAACAAAAGTGAGCACAATTTTAAAAAGTTTATCCAATTTCATTGTGATTGCGCAACAGTTGAACAAATTAATACAATTTTTCAACCAATTTTCCTCGAAGTAACGCCGCAGCTGGACGAACAATTGGCAAGTGGTGAAAAACTGTTAAGTTTACAATTGTCACTTGTGACTGGAACAACGAACAAACAGTTTATAAGTGTACAACCAGCTGCTGCTAATTTGATCATTGTTTGAGATATTTTAAACGATCATGCAACCGCACCTGATAGTTGCTAAGTTGTGTTTGAATCACAACAAAAGAATCATCATTCGTGATGAGAATTGGCTTCACTGTTTCTGATAAGTTGTAATTAGAAAATTGACAAGGAAACTTTTCACTCGGCTCGAGCGCCGATTTTGAATTCGAAATAAATATTCGTTCTGGTATGTCACTGAACGAATCTTGATAACGCGAATAACCTAGAAAACCACGAAGGTTTGTTTTATAAATAAAAATTGTATGATTCACGTAATTGGCCGTGGGTGGACGATCGATTTGGTCTCTAATGCAATTCAACTACGGAATTTATTCAGCCGTTGATTCAGGCTGTATTCGCACGTAAATTATCGAACAGCCGCGAGTCACGAACTCGTAAGTTAATATGTCACGAATAAGATTAGATGGATAAGGTATTGGAAAAAAAAAATATATATATATATAGAATGATACTGTTCGATCTCGTGCTGGAAGTCGATTAATATTTTATTAATGAAATAAGTGAATTGTCGTGGGTAATTTCGATTTGCCCTGATACGATGCTTATTATGATTACAAAATTATTATAAAATTGTTTACTCTTGTAGTATTAGAAATTTTTCGAAAATATTCAGTATTATCGATAATCGTTATCGAGCATGACTATCATGACTGATCTCGAATTATTGATAATTCTCAAATAACATAGATGGGATTACGATAGGGAGCGGGAGATAAAATCAGACTGAAAATCTGTTACCTGAATTCCAAGATTATCTATTATTGGTATCTTAGAAAGATAAAATCTGATAGAAAAGAGAGAAGAGGATTTCATGCAAAGGTAAATATTAAATCTGGGTATTAATGACGGGGGAATTGTCATTGTTGGTTTTGAAGTAGGATTTGCAAAAATTTTAAATTCTATTGATTTTCGCATAATTCGAGCATCGAATTTTCATTTCTTGGTGAATTGCCGGATGATATTTTACGGAATTGCCTTCCCGGCTAAAATTATTAATAAAATTATTATTGTCCCTAAATTAGTCGTATTTCTTTAATGGGGCATTTTCCCGATGATCAATCGCGTCGATTGACAAACCCTTATCACAGTTATCATGAGAAATTAATTTATCTGTCTTAGATTACAAAATGAGTATGTAGATCGTTAAGGTGGATGGCCCAGTAATCGTCAGTTGTGTGTAGACTTTGCTATAGTCAAAGCACACGTTGACAAATCGAATATTGATTTATAATTTAGTTTAACAATTTTTTGGGAAATATTTTATTAAGAGATGACTTCATTTTTTGAAAATTAACTAATACGTGTAATCGATATGACTTGATCAATTGATCGATTAGAGCGAGCGCATTTTCTTCATCAAGGAAGCAGGTCATTACGAATCACAAAATCTAGGTTAGGTTAGAGAAAATATGTCTTATCAACAGACAATCTTTAATTCGAAGATTTTAAATGAAGATTGATGATTATTGATAAGATTAAAAGCTGAAGCTATAAACGAACGTTTTTTTCCAAATTATTCAAATAAGTATTCATCATGTCCCTTGAGAAGGTATACCTCCCCGTTTTAGTGGCACTTGCCGCACTTCAAGTAGGTCAGAAGTGAATCAATTGAAACAATAACAATTACCTAATAAAAATTCAAAACCTGCACAATTTAGATTTAAGCGAAAATTCAAAGAAAAATTTTTTAAAAATATTACATATTACCACGATTTTTGAATTTTACTGTAAACAAAAATTCATTCAATTCGTAGATGCCGTCCCAAGTCGCATTGTCAATGGCCAGACAGCAGCCAACGGTGAATTTCCGTATATGGTGAGAATAAAATTTCTATAAAATATAACTAATTATGAAAAAATCAAAATTTTGTTTAGGTTTCCCTACGATGGGTATCGTCATCCTCGCACACGTGTGGCGGAAGTATAGTGACCCAATATCACGTGGTCACAGCAGCGCACTGTGTTAACAAGTAAATAAATGATTTAAAAAAAAAAAAATTTTTTTTAAATTATTTTTCATCTTATTTCACAGCACCCTGCCAAGCGCGATGTTCGTAGTAACCGGTCACACGTCGAACACCGGTGGTGGTCGTGTCAGCTACTTGGAAGACATTAGGGTTCATCCACAATATTCATTACCATTTTGGATGAATGACATAGCCGTTCTCAAATTGCGAACACCAATTATTTTTGGTGCGACCGAGCAGCCAATACCAATAGCCATTTCGAATACTGGAGTAGAGGAGTGTATAGTTTCCGGTTGGGGTCGAGCCCACGTGAGTTACATAGATCCTACAATTGATACATTTTTCATAACGATTTTCATTTTAGTTTCCCTCTTTGGGACTACCTGGTGACCTACAAAAAGCGAACTTGAACACTATGACGATTCAGGAATGCATGAGTTACTGGTCGCCTTCGAGTATCGTTAACGGTTCCTTGTGCGCCTTGAATTCGGTCGGAATCGCCGTGTGTTCGGTAAAAAAAATTTTTTTAATATCAATGACGATCGTCATTGTCAAATTGAAAAATCATTATGCAGGATATTTGAAAATTATATTTTGCATATATGATGGTAAAAAAAAAATTATTACCGATTTTTGACTTTAGGGTGACTCTGGTGGTCCTCTCGTTTGCAATGGTCATCTTGCTGGGGTTGTGTCCTGGGGAAATCCTTGTGCCAATGGACTACCCGATGTTTTTGCCAGAGTTTATCACTTCCGTGATTGGCTGATTGAAAATACGAACGATCTTTTTTCGAGCGATACCTTCGACGAGAAGGACGATCCCGCTTACTTGCTTTAATTCTATGTAACATTATTTTGGGGAAGACTGGCCCCCGCTGGGTTTTATGTTTTTTGTGCAATAAAAATATTTCCAAAAATAAGAACGAGTCGTTGAGTTTCCGCAAAATGTTCCAAAAATTTGATTTTATGCACTGTTATTTATTTTAAAAATATTAACGACCATCGGTCGTTACGATTTTGTAAAATAATTTTCGTGTTTTCAACCGATCATCCGTTCAACCGTATAATATATTATTGTTAATGTTATCTTGTCTAATGACTTTCCACGAGTTTTAAAAAGTGATTGATTACGAAATTATACGATAAAAGGAGCTGAATTCTCTTAGCAAAGTTCAGTCTATCGCGATGTACACGGCAGCCGTCTTCATATTATTCGCAATTGCCCTGACAGGCAGCCACGGTAAGACGGTTAATCAAAATTCAAATTTCTTCGCAGTTGGCTATTGCTTTACGCAGCTCCCATGGGCTTGTCATGTGGCTAAGAGTTAACATAGTCACAATTTTTCAGGCAATTCGCTATCCAGAATTGTCAATGGCAGTCCAGGAGTCTCGGGTCAATTTCCATATCTGGTGTCGCTGCGACGTAGCTCGACGTCGTCGCATTTCTGCGGTGGAAATCTGGTGACGAGGCAGCACGTCGTCACCGCGACGCATTGCGTCAACGGTATGACGCCCAACGACTTATTCGTTGTGACCGGAAGTATTTCGAATGCCAAAGGTGGTGAAACTCATGGGGTGGCAGACATACGCGTTCATGCCGATTACGTTGGCCAGTCAAATTATTGGCTTGACGATGTTGCCGTTGTCAAACTGGCAGCACCTGTCACCCTGAATGCTGTCACTCAGGTGTTGCCGCTGCCAACGAGAACTGTCCCCGGTAGCGAGCCTTGCGTAATGGCCGGATGGGGACGCGCGCACGTGAGTATAATTTTATTAAACGTACAGTACAGGGTGAGGAATATTTTTTTTGAAAAATATTTTTTTTGAAAAATATTTTTTTTCCACCAGTATCCCTCTTTGGGGCTGCCAGGAGAAGTACAGACTTTGGTCCAGAATACTCTGTCAGTTAGTAACTGTCGGCTCATATGGGGTTTCAATATTAGAGACAATCATCTTTGTGCACTTTCTCGACGTGGCGAAGGAATTTGCAGTGTACGTAAATTGATATGACTTTTGAAAAAAAAAATTTCTTACAGGGGACAGTGGAAAATATTTATATATTTTTTTAGGGCGATTCCGGAAGTCCGTTGGTATGCGGTGGTGAGCATCATGGCATCGCTTCCTGGGTGAATCCCTGCGCGAATGGATTGCCGGATGCCTTTGTCAGAGTTTCTCTTTATGTTGATTGGATCAAGGAACGAATCGCCGATGTTGATAATTGAAAATCCTGAGAGGGGTTTACACTGTTTTCTGCTTCTTTGGAAAATAAAAGAGAATAAAGAGTATATGAGGGCATTATTTATTTTTTGCTTTTCTTGAATTTTCCTTGTGGAAGTAGAACGGTTGAATTTTGGATTTTGACTATTTGTGCTTTTTAAGGAATTTTTTTTTTTTTTTTTTTTTTTTGAACAAAATATCTTCGGGACGTTTTAAATCGAGTAACAATTGTAACAATGACCGTGACCAAAAGACAAACATTGTGTCAAAACAGTCATAATGCTGGGCTAATTACGAAACTCATTTACTCGTTAAGCAATTAATCTGTGATCGTAAATTTAGTAACGGCGGGAGCATTTGATTTCATAGCGGAAGTTCCTTGCTGAGCGCTCAGTCGACGCTTTGTGTTGAAGGTGATTTTTTTTTCAATTTTGAAAAAAATCTAAGTGAAAGTGTGACGGTTCGAAGATGAAACACGTACTGCTAGTCTTTGCGACATTTTTCTGTATCGTTTTTGGAAAACGGTATCCGCGGGATTTCACTGACTCCGTGGGAATGATTCGTCGAAATTATGCTGGTGGAACAGTGCCTATGAATGGTCTGAATTTCACGAGAGAAAAAAATATAAACTTGAAAAAGTTTTATGAGAATTCCGAAAGAGTCAGTATCGTTGATGACAGATTGAAGTTTAACGGAACTGAAAATTCTTTTAAAAATTATCCAAAAGTAAATCAATTTCTTTTGAGACGTACGATGAGTAGGAACAATGATTTGAAGACACTAAGTCATCAGGATCATTTAAAGGGGAATCGTAACCAAGATCAAAAAGAAAATTCATTTAAGGACTTGAATAAAAATAAAAATATCAAAGAAGTCATTAATCATGATCACGTGGAAGAGAACGTTCATAACGATTTAAAGCGAACCATTGACGTTGACACGATTTTGAAATTGACTGCTGAAAGATTGAGGAATTTGAGTGCGCGGATGGAATCTCAAAGGAAAAAGACATTTTTGAATGAAAAACCGAAATATAAGCGTAACGATGAAAGAGGTTCAAATGCTCATACGAGACATTCCGAATGGCTCATTTTACCGAATCACAATGTGAATTCGATTAATGATTTTAAAAAGGATTCCATCACTGACGAGTATCGTAGTAAGTCGATAGTTTCATCGTATCGTCAGCCAGGAGTGATAATCAAAAAAAACCAAATGTTGAGTCACGGACAATCGGATCTCCTGAAAAGTGACAACGATAAAGGAAGGAATGTTGTAAATTATCAAAATTCTAATTTTAATGTGCAAGATATGAAAAAGTCAGAAAATCCAAATGTCCTAAATACAGGTAGACGAAATCCTGATATTTTTAAATACAAAATCACCGGCATGAGAAAAGGAAAAGGTTTTGAAAATTTAGGTTCTCGCATACCCAATATGAGGAATATGCAAAACGAAAATACCGATATACAAGATGGAATAAATTTCGAAAAACGAAATTTTGAAAAAATCGTTGCAGACGATTCACAAGTTGCTAATCTCACAGTTCGAAGTCCTACGGATTATCCAAGTTTGAATAACAGTCAGTATCCGAAATTTGACGAACAGGATACGGTGGATTACGAAAATTTGAAATTTGGTAAACAAAGTTTAAGGGATTTTGCGGAATCTGAAATTCCTACAACGAGGAATAATATGGAAAATTCAGAAATAAATATTCCAACAAGCAATTCCGTATCACAGCAATTCGAAACTTCATGGGAATCCAAAAATGGCGTTAATGCAAAATCAATTTTGGAAAATCGTACAAAATTTCAAACATTTTCCTTCGAACCTGGGCAGCCTAACCAATATCCTGTATTACGAGAAATATACCGCAAGGATCTAGACTCAAATTTTCAATTGTCTTCAAAAAAGGAACGTAGAGGAATTCCCGTGGATGATCCTTATTATTTTGACCGTGAAAATTTCGAAAATTTACCTGCGGGTGAAATTTTTCATGAAAGTCGTGTCGTCGTAGAAAATTCCATAGTACCCACAAAATTGTACGCGAAGGACGATTTGGAAAAAGTTTTAAAAAGCGTGCGATTTTTTCTTGATCATCGTATAAAGCGAGAAGACTACTATCGATTACCACTGAAGGAAAATAAAAAAGATTCGACTATTAGCTCCAAGAAATTTTCCAAAAATCACTCAAAACTTGGCAATGACAAAGAGGAGGTATCCAAAATCAGAAATTCTAACGAACAAAAATCTCGAAAAAAGAAAATTTCAAATAAAGTTCCTTCCCCGACAAAGGATTCAATTAGGAACAGATACATTGATGGTATGTAAATTATAATTTATTTAATAAAAAAATAATTTTCAAATTTTTCCCCCCTTCTCTTAGAACGTTCGTTAAATCTCAAAGATCATGTACATGATTATTATTTCCAAGAAGAGCTTCTTACCAAAGCGGAAGAGCAAGATGATTTTAGCGACAGTACTTTGCACGAAAATCATACAAGTTCATTAAATCTAAAGAATATTCCAAAAACGACGGATATGGTAATCTTCAAAAGAGAAATCGACAAAACTGAATCAGCGAGAGAAAATCCAAGCAGTTCGAATTTGACTGTGTCAGAAAGGATACAAAAAAATTTCGAAAGCATAAACTCAAGAAACAAATTCAAAATTAAAAAAAAACGGACACACAAGGATGAGAAGGATCGGAAGAAAGTTTCAAAAATTGGACTCAAAACGAAAGTATCAAAAAAAAATCATCGCAAGGCAAACAAAAATGACCCATCAAAATTCAAACCAGACGATACGAAGGAAGTTAAATTGAAGATCAAGGTAAATATCCCCGAACAAGATCATCAAGCACCAGACTTCAACAATGATAGAGTCAAAACAGAATACTTCCCGATGACCAACAGCGTGATGGAAGATGCATTAAATGAAGATCATTTAAATAAAAATATGGCAATTCCGGTCAAGATCAACGAAAATGATCTGATGGATGATTTCATCACTTATAAGAACACGCCACTGCTTTCGATGGGTCCTATCGCGAAGAAAAACAAGGAAGGGAAGGAAACTCAATCAAAACGTAAATTAATAGCACGAGACAAACCGACGGACGATGACTTTGGCCTGTATGGCTCGATCGAAAGTGACCTGAGTATGGACTCAAATTTGAAAGACGACAAATTTCAAGAGTCAAATCATGAATCGAAGTCATCAGTACCAGTCGATGACACAGAAGGCTTCATGGAAACTAATAACGCGCCCTTACCGATAAATCCGCCGAATTCACAAGATTCAAGACGACTTTTGGATAATGATCAAATCACACCGTTCAGGAGAAACAATCTCATATACAAGCCATACGGTATGGAAGGTGAATCAAGATCTATGAAAAAAAGATTAAGAATTAAACAATTAGTTAGTGAACCAGATTTCATAAGATTCATCAATACAAGCAGCATCAGGTTGGCCGCTCCAGATTATTTGAAACCAATTGATGTGAATTTTGAAGCTCATGGTAAACAGCCGTGCACGACAAGTAATAAAAAAGGAATGGATGAGTGTTCGGAAGAAGAGAGTGGGGAAGCTAAGAATGTTCATGATGACGAAAAGAAAACGTGGCCAATTTCTCCGGGTCCGATTACATGCAATCCGGGTAAGTGATTAAAAACAATTATTAAATAAATTTATAGAAAATTTTTGGATATTTAAATAATAATCCTGATGCGTAAACCTTAAGGAATCTACCGTAAAACGATAAAATTATCATTGATAAGCACTTCCGTTCATAATCTTCGAGAGTTCACGTAACGTGTGCTATGGTTATTAATAATGATAACGAAAGACAATAATAGGAACTAAAATAAGGAAATTGATAAAGATGCGCTAGTGTCGCTTTTTAGTGCTACTATGATAAAGAAAACTACTATGAAAAAGAAAAGTATCAAGGAACAATGATAAAATTTTGAATAATGATAACCCACTACTATTTTTTACAATAATTCATATTACACTTGGATTTTTCAATTATTATACTATGAATTTCCTAATAGTAAATTCATTCAATCGTATTGATATCTTTTTTTTACTATCATTGATTCGCGATAGCCTGTTATCAATACGTAATAATGACCATTAGTCTTTTTCCGACCTTCCATATATCTTAGTATTCTTTTCATATCAAGTATTTTTGTCGGAATATAGTTCATATGCTATTAGCAGTATATAAGAATGAGTAAGAATTTTGAGTTTGAATAAATTTTTCAATTTTATTTAGATTATGAAGTAACAACAACTTTCGGAACGGAACCCACCGAATATCCGTTTGTGGTTGGTAAAAAAAAATGCACGTTCTATTAAGTAACTCAAAAAATGTATATTCCATTTTTGATTTTTTTTTTTTTAGGTATCAATCCAGTATCAAAATATTGTAACCAAAAATTTGTCGCACATTTGCAATGGAGTCGTTGTTGGTACAAGGTTCATATTATCGGCGGCACATTGTTTAAACAATCGTGACAATTTTGAGTTGGTGGTACAACGTTCTAATGACCTTTGTGACGACGAAGAGAAACCAGTACCTGTGGCCTTGGTGATGGAGCACGAAAATTACAACAGACACACGAGAATGAATGATTTGGCTCTATTGAGGGTAGATATCAAAATTTGAATTTTTAATAAAAAAAATGTTTAATTTTAATATTTTTAGTTAAAATACGAAATCGACACGGACCAAGTGTCATTTCCTAAAAATGACATAATATTTAATGATTTCTATTCCGTGGGTTGGGGTGAACTGATGGTGAGAACTATGATTTTATTTCAAAAATGTTATTACACCATCTTTGTAATGTTCAAAAAGACAGTGTGAATTTGTATTTTCAGTGGAACCGATTTGCAAAAAATGTTACGAAAATTCAGCAAAAACTGCCTGTATCCAGGTACTCTGACAAAACAAAGGAAAATGCAGGAACCATATACATGAGCATAGCTGGATTGGACATAACTGGAACTTTTAGGGTATTTTATAAAAATTTGGAAATTTAACGAAAATTCGTTAAAAAAATATTTTCACGTTTCAGGGTGACTACGGGGGAATTCTCTTGAATGAAGACAAAGAATTGATTGGGGTGCAATCAAAATTCTATCCAGATGAAAATTACGAAGTTTTCATGAGGGTCAGGACGTATCTTCCTTGGATAGAAAATATGATAAACTCGAGTAAACGACTCTTGGAGCATCCTTATAAATTCCAACCAAAGAAAGGCTAAGAGAGACATAGATAAATGAATAACAATAAGCATACATGACAATGTACTATAAAAAGTCATTGTTAATAATATATTAAAATAAAAACAGAATTCTTCACTTTTTCGTCTTTCATTCGAAATGGGATATTTCCTATCTTAAAAAATGTATATTTTCCGTAAAATCGACGTCGACGTTAACGCAGCCTTTTTTCTTTATCTTCTAGTGTGCGTTTACATAATTCATCGAGTACACGTAAGGAAAATTTAAAAAAAATGGGAAGGGATAACGCATCAGGGTCGAGGTTCGCAACAGTCAATATAAATGAAACGCGCAAGGCTGATTTCGTACTGGACAGCTCAGCGTTCGCGCGAAAAAGAAAAGAAAGTAGAAAATATATAGTGAGATAAAAAATTTTGAAAAAATGTCGCGGATTTTGGCGGTCACGTTGTTCGCGGTATTTTTGATCGCCTCACGGGCGGCGGGTAAGTATTTTTTTAAAATTTCCAAAAATAGCGTGACAAGTGCATCCCTCACTCCTGCTTTCACGCGTAACTTAAAATAAACAAAAATATTTACCCGTTCTACACTTTTGATTTTTTAAGCTTTTCCAAAAATATTTCCAAAATCCTCTCTTTTATCTTTCTTTCCTTCTTCATTTCATTTCCGAATGTCGTCATTCGTCAAAATGTTATTTTTTATTACTGTCGATCATATCGTATATTTTCAGATTTTCTTTTCTCTTCGTTCTGCGATATTTCTTTTTGTGCTTTCATTTCGTAGAGGCGAAGAGTCGTGTAGTATTTCTATTGTATTAATAAAAAGTGTTTAAATGCATTTAACTTGTTAAGACTTTTTCAGGCCTGTGACATGAAAATGTTTAACATTTCTACGTGAACTTTTAAATTCATTGACCCACAAATTTCTGTTTAGATAAGCATCGAATTTTGAAAACAATTAGGGATATGCAGTGTAACGTAATTCTTTTCCTTGACCCGACACCGATAGCAAAACATCCGAGAACGAACTATCTTCGAGAACCGACCTACGTTTGGGCATCCGCAAGCCAGGCGGGCGCCAGCTAATTCTTTTTTTCACCGGGAACTAACGAGCCGGTATAGACTGGGAGTTGAGGTGGAACAGGCCCAACTCCACCAAAACGAGAGCTCTGACGGAACCTATCGGACGAGGCGATAGCTTGACGGATCCTGTCGATTTTTGGGGAGGCGTAAAATCGAGAAACGCAACTGGAAGCACGAACGGGAGCGGACGGCTACGGAAATGCGCGGCCGCTCAGGCTGCTAGGTTGAAGTAGAGAGGGTCGGAGTAAGAGTCCGGCAAGTAGCGCGAGCGACAGAGAGCGAATCTTAACTATCTATCGAAATCCCTTCACCAATTAATAAATTGGGAGACTCACCGGAGCTGGTGCAGCTAATCCGTGGAGGCCGAGAACTGCATCCAAAGGACACCCTGGTGGACACTGCACTAAGGCACAACACTACACCTTCGGAACACTCACAGGAATTCATAGAATTGCCTAGATATCGCGAGAACAACGCGAGAACTGTACGAATCGAGAACTTGCTATACCGTAGCGAAACACGGCAAGAAAAACTATCAACAGATAGCAGGGAAGCACGAGCCAGCCCGTGACACCTCGGTCGGTGCCCCGAGACAGACTGCTTTGACCATAGCCAAATGCCAAATTCGGGAACTAATCATTCTGATTGGTCGAGAGCCTTTTAACCGATAACTCTTCTATCTCCTTCGAGTCGTCCCTTTAAACCAAATCGAGAGCGTTCCTTAACGAATCGGTACGTAACTTTTGGAGATCCTCCACGGCCGCTTCCCCAGGGCATCGGGCGACAGCTGGGCACCACATCTTAACTTCGGGCAGGAGGTTCCTCTCCTGCCCTTAACCGTATCAAAACTTCCTCCGCCCGCTCTACAGCCCTTTGCCCATCTCCAGCGGGGCGCCGGTATTTCACCCGGGCTTCTGCCGGTCCGTGGAGACGTCTCCGTCGGGTCGTCTCCTCTGCCGGGCAACTCGGTACATCGAGACTATCTCCCCACGGCAGATTCGAGCACCTCGACCTCAACTAAACCATAACGAAATCTTACGAGAGCCTTGACGTAACTATACGAATCAACCCGAGAGCGTAGCTTCTGAGCAGGGTGGCGACCCGAAGGGAACCAAAAATCGAGAACGTTATCTGTATCGGTAACCGGAGCCGCCTTGGGACCGTGATTCGAAAAATCACGTCACAGCAGATAATATGGAGGTAGGTTACGCTCGGTCGATTTATTACTGGTTTCCTCGAAATTTTGAAGAATTTTACGGCATGTCGTATTGATTCCAGATATGGATGATCTCTCGAGAAGTCGATCAGATTACACAAAAGAGTGTTTCGTCCCTAAATCCTGTCGCTTATGCTTAGTGAAAAGGGTTTGAGACAGTAACAGTGCTTCGAAAAAAAATTCCATTAACTTGACACGAAATCAAAGAAAATTTTAAAAAATGATTCAATGTCAAAAATAATTATAATAAAATTTTTTGGAAAAGTCTCGAGCCTCTACTTCTGCAACTGCTACTTCTGCTGCTACTACTTGTACTACTACTCCGTCAACCACTATTACTATGATCCCTATTTCCATTGTTACTATCACTGTATCTTCTAGTGATGCGAATAGTGCAAAGTTCATTATGGATCTTGACTACCGATGATAAATATGTGCGAAAAATGGGAACTGGTCGTTTTCAGGAGATGGAAGTTCAAAAGAAGATAACATGTTTAGTGTATCTGAGAGTCCAAATCTGCTACTAAATTTTAAACAAACTGCAGAAGTTTCTGACGTGACGGATGGTGTTCCAAGAGATGAAGGAACAAACCAGGAACCCTTTAAAACTAGAGCACTCTCAGATCCTGAAGCACTCCCAGAAGGTGCAGCAGATACAAATCCTGGAGCACTCTCAGAAGGTGCAGCAGATTCGGATCCTGGAGCACTCACAGCAGGTGCAGCAGATTTAAATCCTGAAGCACTCTCAGAAGGTTCAACAGATTCGGATCCTGGAGCACTCACAGCAGGTGCAGCAGATTTAAATCCTGAAGCACTCACAGCAGTTGCAGCAGATTCGGATCCTGGAGCACTCACAGCAGGTGCAGCAGATTTAAATCCTGAAGCACTCTCAGAAGGTTCAACAGATTCGGATCCTGGAGCACTCACAGCAGGTGCAGCAGATTTAAATCCTGAAGCACTCTCAGAAGGTTCAACAGATTCGGATCCTGGAGCACTCACAGCAGGTGCAGCAGATTTAAATCCTGAAGCACTCTCAGAAGGTTCAACAGATTCGGATCCTGGAGCACTCACAGCAGGTGCAGCAGATTTAAATCCTGAAGCACTCTCAGAAGGTTATCCTGGAGCACTCTCAGCAGGGGCAGCAGATTCAAATCCTGAACCACTCTCAGAAGGTGCAGCAGATTCGGATCCTGGAGCACTCACACCAGGTGCAGCAGATTTAAATTCTGAAGCACTCTCAGCAGGTGCAGCAGATTCAAATTCTGAAGCACTCCAATTTTTTTTTTTTTTTTTTTTTTTTTTTTTTTTCACTCCAACTCTCTCTCTCTCAAATCCAGCCTCACTCTCAGAAGGTGCAGCAGATTCGGATCCTGGAGCACTCACACCAGGTGCAGCAGATTTAAATTCTGAAGCACTCTCAGCAGGTGCAGCAGATTCAAATTCTGAAGCACTCCAAGAAGGTACAGCAGATACAAATCCTGGAGCACTCTCAGCAGGTGGAATAGATTCAAATCCTGAAGCACTCTCAGCAGGTGCAGCAGATTCAAATTTTGAAGCACTCTCAGCAGGTGCAGCAGATTTAAATCCTGGAGCACTCTCAGCAGGCGCAGCAGACTCCAATCTTGAAGCACTCTCAGACGGTGCAACATCCAAATTGGATGGTGAATCCAACGGAACAGAATTAAGTTCCCCAGTATCCGATGGCAAAACCTCAGAGTCTGGTAATGATGCATCAAGTACAAGAGAAAATCAGTTCAATACTTAAAATCTAAAAGAACCTAAGCCCTCAAGAAATGAATTACGAACAAATTGAGATAAACTTATTCGAAAAAAAAAATTGAAACATGCGATGGAAATGAACAACAAAAAAATCAAGTTCCAGTCTAGACAAAGACGGTGCCTTCAAGTTGAAAAAGGATTCTGGTATTTCGTTCTTGGATGAGGATGATTCGCTAATGAAAATTCTCTTTTTTTTCTCAAATTTGTTAAATATCGACTCTTCGTCTCGCCTGCATATTTCAAGATAAACCTCGAGCACTCTTCGCTCCATTTCTTTTCTACAAAAGTTTCTTTCTTCCCAATTTATTCACTTTAAAAAAAACTCTTGATCTCATTACTACTTGTTACTATACTCAATATTTTAACACACTCTCCAAATGCTCTTCACGAAAATTTCTACCTCTTACTGTCCTTTCAAGAAAGTTCTCCGGTCAAGAATAATTTTTCTTTTCTAGCCGATCCTTTGCAATTGCCCGGTGTAAATGGTATCCCGGCTCCAAATCCTATAGGAATGCCAGGTAATATTATTTTAATTTTTTACTAATAAACGATTCTTAACATATATTCTTAAAATAATTTTTCTTTTTTAGCCGATCCTTCCGGTTTAAATGGGTTCCCGCCTCCAAATCCTATGGGAATGCCAGGTAATATTTTTTTAATTTTTTACTAATAAACGATTCTTAACATATATTCTTAAAATAATTTTTCTTTTTTAGCCGATCCTTCCGGTTTAAATGGGTTCCCGCCTCCAAATCCTATGGGAATGCCAGGTAATATTTTTTTAATTTTTTACTAATAAACGATTCTTAACATATATTCTTAAAATAATTTTTCTTTTTTAGCCGATCCTTCCGGTTTAAATGGGTTCCCGCCTCCAAATCCTATGGGAATGCCAGGTAATATTTTTTTAATTTTTTACTAATAAACGATTCTTAACATATATTCTTAAAATAATTTTTCTTTTTTAGCCGATCCTTCCGGTTTAAATGGGTTCCCGCCTCCAAATCCTATGGGAATGCCAGGTAATATTTTTTTAATTTTTTACTAATAAACGATTCTTAACATATATTCTTAAAATAATTTTTCTTTTTTAGCCGATCCTTCCGGTTTAAATGGGTTCCCGCCTCCAAATCCTATGGGAATGCCAGGTAATATTTTTTTAATTTTTTACTAATAAACGATTCTTAACATATATTCTTAAAATAATTTTTCTTTTTTAGCCGATCCTTCCGGTTTAAATGGGTTCCCGCCTCCAAATCCTATGGGAATGCCAGGTAATATTTTTTTAATTTTTTACTAATAAACGATTCTTAACATATATTCTTAAAATAATATTTCTTTTTTTAGCCAATGCTTCGGAATTTCCCGGTTCAAATGACAACCCCGCTTCAATTCCTACGGGAACACCAGGTAATATTTTTCTTTACTTTTTAATAATAAACGATTCTTAACATATAATCGTTAACAATAACCAAATTTTACTTCACCATTACCGCAGGTAGCAGCAATTGAAAGCTGGCGTTGCACCAGACGCTTCCCTGTCTGCTGACAAAAATTTATTGTTATTATCATTATTCAGTTTTCAGCTAAATTTTTTCAATTGTCGCTCTTCATTGTTTCCGTCATTCAAACACTTCGGACTCTATGACGAACCAATGATCGTCTCCCAAATTAATATCCCATTCCCAAATAAGTATCTGTCAATATTCAAAAACCCTTAAAATTAAAATTCACCACCGATCCCTTATCTCGGATTCCACCTGCGTTTGCAAATCACCGTCATCCACGTTCGTACGATATGTCAATTGTTCAAAATATATTTTTGAACTAAAAAAATCCTCTAAGCCAATTAACAAGTCCAAAATGAATTAATTGTAAAAAAAAATCTTTCCATCGTTTCAGAACAAATGTCCACTCTTGCCCCCGTCGGTCCTATTATACCGGTGGTAGACGAAAATCAGGAAACGACTAGCGGTATCGTGGGTAGTATAACTTCCCTCTTATCGCCGATCACCAAAGTCTTTTATCAGTTCATCGACAGTCTACTGAGAAACGTATTCGACGAGAAGCTACCGTGTAACATATATTCCTTCATACCACTGAATATCGAATGTACGCCGTTTGTCAAAGACGAATAATCTAAGACGACTTTGTGAATGAGTAGGGACGCACTGGTGAAAAATAAAAATGTACTGATACGAAATGAACTATGTATTTTTCTTTTCACTTCAATACCTACCCGATCAGGTATATATCCCATAATGAGCTTTTTCTATGCGTAACGTTAAGGTAAAATGGAAAAGATATCCCTAGTAAAAATTAGCATCGACAACTCCAGCACCTGGACTAGGTCTCTCTTCTTGGAGCAGCTCAGGCATAGATGATGGAACCTCGATAGGCTCTGGAATTTCATGATGAACTTTTGTACCAGGGTGGCTGTCATTGAAATACGAAATAAAGGAAATGTCAAAGAATTGTTGTTCCGATGTCTTTTATGTTTTACTGCATTATCAAAATATGAGAGGGAAAAAAGAAAAAAGAGATAACATGTGATACCTAAGGAATTTTGGAACGTAGATAAATCATTGATTACATGACATTAGGCAGAAAGTAAATGAACTTGTAGATGATTATGTTCATCTACGTCATCCACAATGCATTTTTGAATGATTTATGAATTTTTACTGTTATGTCTTGTAATTATCATATCCTGTAATTTATTCTTGTAAAAAAGAAAGGAAAAGGCTAGACACGAGGCAAGAATAAAGAAATGTCGTATCTTCTTGAAATTTTATCGTGTGAATTTATTCGGAAATAAAAAAGAATGCGATATCCCACAATTGTTATGTCACAATTTCGAGAAGGTTGTCCCTCGATAAGATTATTTTGAGTAAAACTAAGTTTTACGTAAACCATAAAAGTAAAAAGTTTCATCTAATCACGCAATTATATTTGTACCGTCAATAGGAATTTAATGTTAATTAGACTGGACTAATTAAAAGAAACGACGTACTTACGTAATCGAAGGACACGTTCTATGCGAATTGAACTTGAATTGTCATTGAAAGTTTATCAGTGTCATTATAGCGAGTTATTAACGTGTCGATGATATGAAGTAATTACGGGATGACGTAAAGAATGCATTTCTTTTTAAGGCGCAACGCATTAATAAGAAAATTGCATAATTACAGTGGAACGACTCATTATGAAAATAAGCGATTACCGCCATACGGCGGCTTTTAGCAACGCGAATTACAGAATGAGTAAGAGTTGTCATGTAAAGATAAGAACGAAAGTTCGATAATCTATGGAAATAAAAAAAATATCGAACGTCCATGACGTCTTTCTTGAACGAACTAGCCTCCGTTATCGCTTCCGCCTACGTAATTTGAAAGAGTGAAATTCCAAAGGAATACCTCCGTGCGCTGGTAAATGAGAAATTGAAAAATGATAATAAAGAAGATGGTTTTTCGAAATTAATAAAAAAAAAAAAAGAAACGATCCTAACGCTAAGACTTAGGTAAAGTCGAATGCCTAAAATAAAAGCAGTGACTGTAAAAATTCAAAATATTTTCTTTATTCGGCCAAGTTGATTGGAGAATGGCGAGAGATAAAAAAGAAATTAAAATTTTTGAAAATAATTTATCTGCAATAAATAATTGTCGTTCCTCCTGCTTCTCGCGGAACCGAACACTTTACTAGCAAATTCAAATGGGCTGCTATCGTGTGCACTTTTCCAGAATGCACTTATAAACTGCACGTAAGTGCACCAGCACGACCAGTCGATAAAGCAAATCGTTTAGAGGGGGAAGTACAACAGGTATATTGGAGTTGTCCAAGTATTTCCGAGCCCGAAACAAGCAAGCTCACCATGTTGAAGACATTGACCATCGCCATTTTACTTGGCCTGACTTCCGGCCGGCCGTCGGCCGACTCCGGCCAGGAAATAAATATTTCGGAGCCAAAAAGCCTGAACTACGTCAACCGGGAATTTCCAAGTAAGATTTACTCACGATTGCTGTGGCCTAAACAAATTTCTAAAAAAACATGTCACTTCTCTTTACAGACACGAAAGAAAACTTGATCGCCCAATTGGAAGAAGCGCCAGATCAAAAGCTTCCATTTGAAAGTCTACTAAGAAACAGGAGAGCTTCGAATTCATCAGCTATGAATAACGCTGGAACTTCAGGAGCCTCACTGCCCAACTTCCTGCAGGTTCCACTCCAAGGAATCGTATCAGTCCTATCAACCGTATTACTAACCCTCCTCCAGGCGATCTTTGGATTGGTCAGCGGAGTCTTGAACCCAATTCTACTTCTTTTGACCGAACTGCTGAACCCAGTATTGCTACCCTTGAGACCAGTTCTCAACCCGCTCCTGTTGCCCGTTAACGGGCTTTTGACGGATATCTTAAAAGCCCTGAATCTGTCATTAGGCTTATCGGGTCTCCTAACAGGAAACGTTACGAGTTCTGCCTTTATTCCCAGCTCAATAACAAGAGCGACCAGGTCCCTAAATTCTGAACCACCTCAGGCTCGCCGTTCGGCAGAGGCTGAAGGCAGCTTCACAGGAATGCCCAATGCCCTGAACACTTTGGTTGCCCACTTGCGCAGCAAACGTCAATCGCCCGGAACAAGCACCGATTCAGGAGTCGATTCAACCCTTACGTCACCTTTGACTCTCGTTAAAAATATTCTAATGGAAGTAATGAATATCCTAGTAACCCCATTGGAGTCGATTCTGAGTCTCGTAATTTCTCTATTGAATTTACCAATCGACCTTATTTCCCAACCGCTGAATCTTGTCGAGTCGCTCTTAAGTGGAACCATAGGACAATTCCTTCCTGACGGGATCACTAGCATGTTAACTCCAATGCCCAGTAAGCCTAGCACTCCAGCGGACACAGTCCCGAATGCAACCGCGAACTCTTTGAGACAAAGAAGAAGCGATACCAACAGCGGATTGGCAGGTACTGATTACGTTTCTCTTGTTCCTTCTTTCTGAAATTCTTTCTTAATATTTAGAATTTCTATCTGCAATTTTTCATACTAATTTCTTTTTTTGGACTGTCTTTCCGATTCTGCAACACCCACAACCCACCCGCTGAACCCCTCCCTCAATTTTGGATGAAACCCTTAAAGTTTATTCTTCGATTCCTTTCAGGACCTCTCAGCGTAATCCTCTCGATCCTTTCTAGTCCTTTAAAAACTCTTTTTAGTTATCTACCAGCGCTCTTGGGCCATTTCAGTATCTCGTATTCTGCCTTACAAGAAGCTGCTCAAGCCCTTTTCTCCAAAGCCGCTAAAAGTCTCTTTACGATGGCCTGCAATGAAACGAAGAATTTTATTCTACCGGCTGTCGACGATTTACTTCAGAGCATTGTCGGATCGGAATATATTCCAGATTACATGAACAGCCTCATCGCGCAATTACACACTGTCTACAAGCTGCTGAAGATGATGGGTTATCTACGCCCCAGCTAGGAGGGACAGCTGGTTTCCGTTTTCCGAAGATTTTTCGGAGACTTCGAGAACTTCCGAAAATATATTATTGTCATTGAGATGGAAAATTTCATTTATGCGTTGCGTATAAACTTTCGTAACTTCAGATACTACGTTAACGAAAAATCATAATAATAAATAAAAAATTTGAGTAATAATTGAAAAATATATATTTTAAGTCTCGCCTGTATGTTATTGAAAAATAATTGCAATAAAAAGACATCAATGTACAATTATTAGTGAATATATTTATTCCCTCTGTCACACCACTTTCAATCCATTCTCTAACTACATTATAGTATACAGCCCACGATCGATAGGCCACGCCCCAATTAGCCAGGGCCGACGCTGATAGGCCAACGCTTGAAAATTCTGATGTTCAAAATCTCTTGATCCATGCCGCAAAAATAAAAAACGCTTAAATACTTTTCTTCTTAATTTTTATCCAAGAATCCATTCCCATTACGCACTTGCGGTCTTAACTAGACCTTACATTGTCCTTGATCGACTGGATACTGTTATCAAAGACTTTTCTGATAATTCAAAGTATCCGTTTAACTTTAAAAAAAAAATTATTCAAAAATCCAATAGCTCATCGATGGTCCATCTTAATGGCTCGAAGAAAAAGCAAGGGAGAGGTTAACAAAGTAAAATAGGATTAATGAAAGGAGCAAAAAAAACCTTTATTTCAAATCCACAGCCAGCTCCCAAGAGGAACCGGGCCACAAATTTTGATGAACCGTGTTCAAAACGCTAAGCGATGGAAATGCCACCGAAAGTTACGTCAAACGTAGGATCGATCACTGCGTTTATAAAGAGTCCGATCAGCTTCTTAACGAAGCTAGGAAGTATGAGGCCGGGTATGCTGTCAATCATCTCCATTATTATTTTACCAACTCCGCCGTTTGACGCATCCACGCCCGAGCAAACCAATCCATCTTCAATGCTGAGAGTGCACGGTACGGTGCCACCCAGAATCCGCCCCAAGGCTCCATTCGTTATAAGTTCAAAGTCAGTCAACAGGTTACTTGTTTCGTTTAACAAATCTTCTATCAGTGGACCGATCAGAGGAATGTCTGTAACGACGTTTACAATGCTACCGATAGCATCTGCCAAATTATTACTGCTCTCATTCGAATCTGCCGCTCTTTTCACTGAAAAGACATTAACAGTGTTATAACAGGACGGTATTAGAAATCCATGGGAATGCAATTTTTGTCAATGCAATTTTTGTATGCTATTTTCACTCTTGTACCAAATTTTGTTCTTGCGCTTTGCCGTACAAAGTTTACTCACTCTTGCCTTCCGCAGCGACGAAACTGCTTCCCAGAAGGAACAGCAGCATCGAACAGTACAAGATCTTCATGCTGATTTTGTTGTTTAACACGATATTTTTTTGTTGTTTCCTTTTTTGTTCTTGTTGTCGCTTTGCTTTACGAGGACGATCACTCGTGGAAGGCGCGAAGACACTTTTGGAGCAGCATGGCCGATCGGCGAGCCTTTATAAACATTTCGAGTAATACGTAAGTGGCAGCTAGCTATCAGCATGCACAGTGACTAAATATCTTTCTTATCTAGCTAGCGGCACGGCCATTTTGACAAAGGCTTGCGTAATTTCCATACCTTACGCGGCCGCTTGACCCCGACACTGTCGTACCACGCAACCCTGACTATTTAGGATCAATTTAGATAACTCACTTACGAACGTTTCTGAGCTGCTGATGATGTACTCAAATTTCTTGCTTTTCACTTCAAACATTATTTTTCACCGAAAATCACGACTCGGACCACGTAAAAAAGGGTCGGTCGCGCATTTTGGCAAATCTTAGTTTACCGAAATTTATATAAATTTTATTTTATTCCACGGTCTCGTTCTTTGAACAGCTTTTTTTTTCGACGAATTGCCCTTCTTATCGTCGGATGCTAATTAAATATTTCCACTTACAAGGTTACTCGGTTACATGGCTCGGTATAAAAAATTCATTGATCCACTTTGCATCGGTAGAAAACAATAATTAGGCAACTTCGGTGAAATCGTACATTTCGCAATACCGATGTGCAATTGTATACGGGGCCCTATCGCTACGGGCCCAGAATAACCTCTCAAGGTTTTTCAATACACATTTCACGAATCCCCAAATACTTGGTACATAAAAATAAAATACGAGCTAGATTGATTGTCAAAAAAAAAAAAGAGTAATTTATTGTATCAAATTGAACTGTTATTTTCATATGTAAATTTCCGGGGAATTCAGTCGCACGGAATAGCGTCGTCTAATTCGCGACACCTGTGTACACCATCGCGCGGCTCAAATGTTCAGCCGTCCTTTTACCAAGCTCTGGTAAATGCTCGATGCGAACCCGTGAAACCGGACGGTAACTTGAAAAGTCCTGCTTATTAAATATATATATATAAATATATATATATATATATACATACATGTATAATGTATAAAAAAAACTGTCCACTCGGGGATTCCGGTAGTTTTGAATTGTCTCCGATGATGGTCACGACCTAGATCAGCTGGTCTGCGCAGAACAATCGGTACCCGCACCAAGATCACCGACAGACGTGATCCACAATTGTTCTCACGATCATTGTCTGAGGTGGCAGAAAAGTAAAAAGTGAAAAACAGCAAAGGAAGTGGCAGCCATGCGATGCGCATGGAGGACCTTCGAGATTCTTTTGGCTACAGTCTGTTAACAGATTACGCTACATTGTACATTGTGCATAGTCACGCGTGGAATGACTGTATCGCACGTATGTAGAGTAACTAGGTAGGCAGGTAGGTTGGTGCCTAAAGACTGTTTTCAAGGTGAGCGACGATCGCTCGAGGCGACGGGTACTGTACAAAATAATTAACGGGTATCGAACGATCGATCGGGAGGCTGACCTATGTTTTGGCATATCGGACAGGTCCTGTGACTTTTGACCCCTTCCCAATTACCCGTGTGCAGACTCTTTTTTTTTAATGATTTAGCATGGAGCGTGCAGAGTCTCGAGAGACTCAGCCAATTGGATCCAAGACGTTCGCACTTTCGTTCTTTGCCTCCAGTCACGAATCGACCGTCGAGTTTTACGTTGCACGCAGTCGGAGTTGCAGACTGACATATTTTTTTTTGGTGCAATTTTTTGCTGGATGTAATCTATTTTGTGATAGGATTTTTTAAGGATAGAAATAAAAACATTTTTTTTTTTTGATGGTACTTGTTATGGTCCATTTTACTGTGGCGTATAGGTGCGAGTGATGAGTTAATTTTGTTTTGAGGTGATAAAAGGTTCTTTTTGAAAAATTTCAATGTGGTATGTATATTGATTTTTGAAAATTTTGTGGTGGTTTTAATGAGATTTGGAAATTTGTGATCTGTAGTTATGTAAGATGGTTGGGTTAGGTCATGTGGATTCGGTGATTATGATTAGGACTCGTTTTTGGAGTTGCTTAAAAGATCCAAAATACCGACAATTCGAAACGAACCGTAACGAAGGATTCTTTCGAGCAGGGAGGCTCGCGTCGGAAACGGAAATAGAGTTTTGTAAGACTAATTACAATTGTAGCCGTCGTCGATTCAAGATAAGGCGACTACTCTCGCAACTTCTTTCTCCGGAGGATCTTTAAGTACTTTGGAATTGCGGGAAAATAACTAACGAGAAGAATGGTTAATTTGTGAAATCAAATTCTTTGACGGATTAATACTGAAACTCCAAAATAAATATAAATTTATTTTTAATGTTCAGCGTAAGTTGTTTATTGTTAATAACAATTGCAAAACCCATCCCAGATCAATAGAATTTTAAATCCTCCCACGGTTCCCAACTTAACAAAGCTGGAATTGTCATCGTTCAATTTAATGAGAGTTGATCGTCGATGACCCGAGTCATTGGCCCGTGTAAATAGATGTGCATTAACAGGAAATTGCAACCAAATCGATTCGCCAAACCGTGAAGAAACTTCATTTCGCCATCAACTCCATTTGCAAGTAAGAGAATAATTTTGGAAATTTAAATTATTTTTGTATTTCAATGGTCGCTAAAGTATAAAAAAGCTAGTCACGCGGCTCCAATTTGTTATTGTAGCATATTACGATACAGCAGCGAGTAATCACAAGTGTTCGCAAATAACTGCAGTTGCATAACCGCAAGGACACTAGTTCCCCACATAGGCCGGGATTCCGAGGCGACATGTAAATTCTCCTTTATATTACACCATTGTCATACAAATTCGATTCAAGCCCATTCTCATGGTTTGTATTAAAAAAAAAATTTTTTCCAGCAACAATTCCCATCACCCGCTCCCTGAACTCAATACAAGAGAAACCAAAGAAAAATCAAATAAATATCAGTCACCGGTGCAGCTACAATATGATACCAAACTTGCAATTCCATCACTGGCAACCGATTGCATCTCTGTCCAGTTTGCCACCTGGATACATTGAGGCTGGTCAAGAACAGTCAAAAATGAAATATTCAGTCAAGGTCCTCCGGTCGCTCGTTGAAAACAGACCTAACGATTATCGTACCAACGTGTCACAGCTTCCTGCCCGTAAATGCACCAGCCAACATTATTATGGTGCACCGTAGATCAAAGCGCGATACGTTTCTTCCTTTGTCCGGAATGTCAAGGTAGATCACGGTGCCTGGTAATTTCAGCCAAAACAAACAAGCAATTGCAACTGTGAAAAAACCAATTGAATTGAAATTGCATTTTTTTTTCTTCTAAATCCAAAATCATTCCTCCCTAACCATTTACGTCCAATCACCTCGAAATTTTTTTTACGCGTTTCCACGTGAACAATTTCCACACATAAGATTTTCTCGTTACCAATTTCTTTTTTCTTCTTTCCAAATAGATTAAGAACGAGGAGACTCGTGACTTTCCACACCGCTCAGTTTCCTTAACAATTGGCAGCCATTAGCTTATGCTAATACCTATGAGCAAATATGAGTATACGGGATCTTGTATAATAAGATGCTCGGAGTTGCGTCCGGTTGAAGGAGGCGAAATTTTGGAAAAGTTAGGAATTTATTTCAGGCTCTGTCAAGCGTGCAAACGAATGCTTATGGTTTCGCTGGCATAACGCAATTACCATACAGAAACTACAATACGGAATACAGTTCCTACTGGACTACTCTGTAATGGCAGTCTTCAGTGTTATTCGTGGGCAAAGTATTACGGCATGGAATTGCGCAAAAACAAAGTTAATCTTCCATTTCGTAATGACGACATACAAGGGGAAATCGAAATTGAAGCCCGGTAGCCAAATCTTTTTTTTTCAACATTCAATTCTCAGATCCAACTGTCAAAATTCCATGTGAAATTCCAAACGCCATGACAGACGTACATTGTCACTATTGCGGATTTTCGGTGACTTGGGCACGTGGAAAAAAATAAAACGGATAATCAGGTGAAAATAAAAGGATTAAAATGGTGACCATGAAAAAACGGAAACGCTAAGCAAAGAGGACATTTGTGTTCACTCAGCGAAGGAAAGCTAAGAGTTTCTCCCCTATAGGTATATATCGAATGGAAGATACCTGCAATTTACTTTCCCCGGACGAACGACTCCCGGGGTAGTCATCGAAATGTCTTACGTCATTCGATCCTATGTCGTTCATTAGGCCATTGGCTTTGTAACGAGTAATGAGTATTAACAGTGTATTATACTCTTCATTACGCTGGGGAACAATTAGTCGAAAGGTACATTATACCCATACTGTAACCTATCCTTGTAGTTGCTACTGCTGAATGGCGGCTCCTTCGAGGTCGGAATAATTTCAAAGAAATCACTAAGCGTACAATGACTTTTAATCATCGCGGATATATTCTTCGTATTAGCCAATTCCATTAATCGCATTATAACTTGACGATTACGTCACCGCTTTTTTATACTTTGACCTTAATACACGGAAACGTACAATTTCGAATTTCACTTGAATTTTTTTTACCTCTCACTTTCGATTTTTTTTTCAAAAATTCTTTAACAGACACTCCTTACGTACGATGGCATTTTCGAAGATCGCACGCATGCTAATTGCTAAGTGGCTGGCTAATTTCCATAAGAAGGAAATACTTTTCCTTTTGAAATTCAAGGCGTGTCCGTCATCGGCGGCAACAAGTGTAATGCAAAACGTCTCGATTGTCGAATTCAATTCAATGATTTCCGATGATGTCAGAACAGGGTCATTGTTGCTCTCGGTATTTGGCACCGGTACCTATAGACAATCAAGGAGAAAATGAAAGAGTCAAAGAAAATGATAAGTGATAAACGGGTAAGAAGCGGGTCATACCATACCGTGTATAACCATAAGTGGGAGGAACGGAGAGTCAATGCGGACGATTCTCTTTTGCGGGATTTAGTGTCACAGGTGCGTGTGCGTTGGTGCGTGCAGGCTGCGTGTGGCGACACAGCTGCGTTTTATTTCTCTAGTCGTGGAGACTCCCCTTTACGATTCCAGCGAATATATAGACTTTTGCCCGCATCCCGCGACTCGTCAGTCGCATCACGGATTACTTTCTGTTTCGACCGAATTCACTTTGCCGTCGTTTCCATCAAACGATTTACAGATTTAAACGCAGTCTTCTGGCCCTTTTGATTTGTATCGTCACTCGTATCAAAATTCAATTATCGCCGTTGATCGGGGCAAGGAAAAAGGTGCTGTACAAAAAATGTAATTTAGTTCAAACTTAATTATTAATTATTCAACATTATTCAAGGACTGTCCATAAATTTGTTACATAAGATACGTGTAACCGAAAGAAAAAAGTGAGCGTTTTTTTTCAAAGAAAATAATGACTATTTGAAAGTGCATTATGACAATTATTGATAATTATAAGTGACTCGTTGCAATTACAAATGCATATAGAATCTCACGAATTGATGACGCCGCGATGACTGCATCGCTGACTTCCACGAATTTTCTCACGAGTTCCACGTGGTACCTGGAATTGCGTAAGGTCGCAGAGAAGCGCACCAACACTTTTGTAAGTGCTTATCGATAATGTTGCGAGTCTCGGGAAACGGTGGATCCAAACGAATCGGCAAGTGAGGAACAATCGGTAGAAAAGTCAAAAAAATGTTCGCGAGGGTGCAGTGAGAGTAGGTATCACTTTCTTCTTGTAAAAAAAAAAATAATTTCAGTGATTTAAAAAAAAAAGTGTAAAAAACCCAGTAAACAAGATGGAATTTCACAAAAATATAAGAAGAACAATCTGGTGGTTTGGTTTCCTTCTGGTCGGCAGTGCCATTGACACAGGTAGTGCTTCTTAAGATTAATCGTCCTGTCTAACTTTTTTTTTCTTTCAATTCAATCCTTCTACTATCGACCTGCTTTTTGCGACCTCTTATCACGTTTACTTATCGCTGCACTGTCGGCCGCCACAATTGACTTTCTGCGTAAGTGCGCCAAACTCATGGTCGCTTCTGGTGCGTCACGCCTGTTGGGAAATAATTATAGTTAAACACATGTGTGAGGCATGGAACGGGAAAGGGATAATGAATAGGAGTAACGTAAAAGTGAAAAAACGTAAAGGAGGAAAAAAGTGCTTAATGCGCATCGGTAGAAACGATAGGAAATAAATTACAGTGTGACTCACCAGCGTGATAAGCATGTTGCGTGGTAAACGAATCGCTTGATTTGTCGCATTTACGTTTGTGCCGGCAGGCAATATTTTTAATGGAGACAAGGATAAGAAAATACCGATGATTTCCTGCTTCCAGGAGTTTCCTTGGGCTGTCAGAATTTCGTGTGGGAGAAATTGCCTGGCATGAGGCCCGAGACTGGACAATCCAATTTTATACTTTACACGGGAATCGACTCTGAAGGAATTGTCGAGAGATGCTTCGATCGGTAATTGTTTATCCCAGCTCAGTTTAAAGAATTGTATACGTTGGGTAATCGATTGGTTAATCGATCGTTATGTCCAATTGCCATTCAGATGCCGTAAAACCAACTGCACAGCTTTTGTCATCGATCTCGAAAGAAGCGGCTGCTTCAGTCTTCTTCCGGACAGTGAAGCTTTAGTTCCTGAACCAAACGCCACCTTTTTTCACATGATTTGCCTAAACGGTAAGAAAATAATATAATAAATAGAGCAGAAATAATGATCATGAGAGAATCAAGAAGTTTTCCCATAATTCGCATAATTCTCACAATTTACAATCGCGTGGTTAATTAATGTACTTAATGGAGAGAGAAAAAGTTTGAGAATTCCAATAACTTTTTACATGAGAATTAATAATTAAATAAATTGCGACACACTTACCACGCTCTATTTCACGATTGAACAGCCCAAGGAATTAAATTTGAATAATTCCATTTCTTAGTTCCAGTAAATTGCATGCATTCGCGATTCTGGCAAGTTGAAAGGACACTTGGTGCAGTTTTGATTGACACTTCGACCACGTGGCTGCCAAACTTCATGAACAGAAGCGAGTGCTACGAAAAGTGCATTCGATCAGGTAAGGCAAATTATTTTTAATTAATTTTTTTTTAATCGGTCATGAACTGTCAAAAAAATTTTTTAAGGTGATACTTGCAAGTCGGCGCAATTCCGAACCAATCAGGATCTTCAAATTGGAGACACTGTTGGGAGATGTGCTTTGTCAACTGTAGAAAGAGGGACACGTCCGCAGGCGTACAGAGCCTCCATGTATAGGGATGAATATTTACAGAGCCAGTGCCATAATATATGTAAATATTTTAATATTTAATTGTTAAAGAATAAAATTGGAATTTCAAGTTTTTTACCGATTAATTATTGTTCACAGCGAGAAGCGATTACTGTTCGTTCTCGCAATTCCAAAACCAAACGACCCTATACTCGGATGCACGAATACCCGGTTTGGACTTTAAAGAGGTAAAGATTAAAATTATATATATATATATATAATTAATTATAAATTTGCTTATTAATCAATAATATCGTTTGATTTGTTCAAGTGCGAGGAGAGATGCGACAGTGGTATAGATGGTTTCATTTGTCGAGCCTATACTATTGATCATAGTACCAACCAATCAATCTGCTTGTTACACTCAGACGATTTATTGAGTGTTGGCGTAAGTTCGTTAATTACCAAGCCGGAAGTGACGTACCGTGAACGAGAACCATGTCTGGAGCGTAAGAAGATATTTTATCTTAAATAATAATTCTGTTCTTCTTTGAACTTGGGTTTTTGTATGTTAAATATCACAGTGAAAGTACAGTGCGACAATTCCACCCTAAAGATGGATTTGGCGACAAAGGAACCTTTCTGGGGACGTGTGTACGTGAACGGTTGGGGAAACAAATGTGGGACGGTTGGGAGCGGCCAAAATTTGACAGTCCTGGCCCTGAATTTGCCAAAACGTGACGAAATCATGTCAACCAATTTGAGCTGTGGGCTCACGCCAGCCTTTTCGGTTGACAACCAAAACAGGTAAAAATTTCAGACTGTACTTTAGAGTCCAACAATTTTTTCGACTAACTTTTACATCGTTCAGAACACGTGCCGTAATTTGGACTACGGTCATTGTGCAGTTCAATCCAATTATACAAAGATTGGGTGATCAGGCAGTGAGAGTGGGTTGCTCTTTGGATGAGCATGACATTCCAGAACCGAGGAACATCACTGTCCAATCCAGTGTATCAATTTTGGATCCCAAGTACGCATTTATAAAAAAAATATGCTAATATAGAGTATAGTAAACAATTTGTTTTTCAGTGCTGGGGTACCACCCATATCGACTACCGTAGTGAATTCGTCATCTGAATCACCCATAGTGACCATGAGAATTTTCGATGACCATTTCAATGACAAAATTGTCACGCAACTGGGACAGAAATTGATTCTCAAAATCCAAATCACACCTCCTAATGGTCGGTACACTTCACAAGGGGGATCGACAATACTGTTTCACTTAATAAATTAATTTTTACAGGACCTTATGACATCATGGCGGGACATCTAGTTGCCAGCAGTGCAGCACGCGATTCCTCTTATCTGCTTCTAGACGAAATGGGATGTCCTACTGATCCTGGGACGTTCCCAGCACTTCGGAAAGATCCTACGGATAATAGATCATTGATAGCAAGATTCACAACTTTCAAATTTCCGAATAGTCAGTTGGTTAGGTTCAACGTAGTCGTTAAGTTTTGTTTGGATACGTGTGAGCCGGTACGCTTTATACGATTATATTTAACAAATCACACTAATTACATTTCTTTAATCACAACACGGCACTTATACAAATAATACAATTTTTCTTTTACTAACCTTAGGCAAGATGCAGAGGCGGTAGCATTTCGTACGGCCGAAGGAGACGGTCCGTCTTCCCGGAAGCTAGTGTTGCCAACGTTTCCGAAATTCCAGGAGTAGCCAAAAATCAAACACCCGAAGAACTTCCATTACAACTTTCTATTATTGTTCAGAGTCCCGTTATATCTGCTGATCCTCTGTTATCAACGGACGGCACAAATCCTGACACAATTTTGATCGCGGGAGGCCGTAAGTATCACGACAAAAGAAATATTGACGAGACATTTTTAAATGACCGATTATCTTTTATTTCAGAAGCACTAGACGGCTTGCTGTGTGTGGATGCTAGTCTAGCACTGGGTTTATTAATATTTTGGTTAATTATACAAATTGCACTAACGATCGGCTGCCTGGTAGCCGTTAAAAGGTACAGAAGACTCGCGCGACGAGCCGAGGAAGACCGGGCGGACATACTGGCGCGCCATCTTTATGGAATTCACGGCGGTAATTTCGAAGTCGCCAGACGCGTCCGTTGGGCGGATCACAACGGTTCATCCATCAGCTGATCAGGAAGTTTGATAAATTGAAAGTGAATTATCAACGAAACAAATGTACTTTTAGGTATGAAATTATGAAGATGTCTATGAACCTGGTAGTAGTGATTAAGGAACATTTTTTAAATGACGTCATAAGCGTCCAGACAGTGTTCAATTAGGTTTACGATTTAATACTTTATCGTACGCAGATATCAAAGTACTCGAACGTTTTAAGGTATACTTAAGGTATATTTGATTACAGTAACTTGGTGGAAAGTACTCACGAGTCTTCCAAGATGAATAAATAATTACTTGCCACTAGGCGAGGCCAGTCAGAGTATTCCATTGATTTAGCCAAAGACAATCAAGTGTATGATAATTGTAAAATTAATTATTCATGTAACAAATCGATCCATGTTTGTTATAAGCATTATTATTATACTTTTCATTTTATTTTCCCTCCGTTATAGACACAAGAGTATCACATGTGAATTATGGCTTATTGCTAATAAAAAAAATATTGTATTGACAATTGACATTGCACTTAATTAATACATAGCGCCCGTTACAATTAACCAGTCTTTTTTGACGAATATATTTCATATAATTCAAATCTAACCCGAGGCTGTCGTAGTAGAGGGACATGGTCCATAGTGACTGAGTTCCACGGCTGCGAAAGAGTTGATTAATTAATTTTAATTAATTACCACGATACAGTTAAAGAAACAATAATTGTATACTTACATTTTCCACAGCGTCTAGCACAACTTAATTTTCCAGGATTGCTGTAAACGACACCGTCGGTTCCGCAAATAGGATTGTATTCTGGAGTCGTCTGCGAAAGGAATGACGAATTAATAAATACTCAAGTTACGCTATTGCATTTTCAACAAGTTTGTTTACAATAGTAGAGTCCACTAGATATGTAGTTTTTTTTTTATTGCGCAAAGAAACCAGTATGTTAATCAGTTTCTATATTTCATAATGATATATTCGGAAGGTAATGGTGGCTAGAAATGTGGGTGAAAAAATATTGTGGAAGAAATATGTAAATTACGAAAATTGTTGAAAATTTTGAGAATAATAAGTCATTCAATTACTGGACAATTATCCTGACAGGCACCGCCAGTGTTGGATCCCTGAGAAGCGGAAGTCGTGCTGCTGGAAGTAGTTGGCACGGTGGTCATTCTGGGTCTGGCTGGTGGATTTTGAGTGTTCTGGAACAAAGGCCGATTGATTGGTCGATCGGCAGGGCCGTCGAATACGAATCCATCGACAGGTCGAAAATCGTTATCGGTCAGGACGTTTGGCGGTACTCGAAATCCATTGGCATTTTGATTATTAAAAAGTCCGTTACTCTGCCGAAAAAAAATTTTGATAATAATAACGAATCGTCATTTCAATGTATAATTTATAATAATTGAATTCGATCAGTCTCACTTATTGAAAGTCACTGTATTTATGTACCTCTGGCTATTTCCGGAAAATTATATCGCGATTCGACCCGGCAATCAAGGTTATGTCTACAGTCAAGGGGAACCGGAAATCGAGTAATTTGACTCACCTGTGGTCCGTGAACACGACCAGATGCCGGAAGGGCCGTCACAAGGCAGGTCATTGAAATCGCTGTAGAATTGACAGTATTATAATTTCACTTTAATTCGATGAAAAAAAATCTCAAAAATACAGTACACAAAAGAAAGTAAAGTCAAACTTACCAAAAATTGTCAAGATCACGTAAATTCGCGTCATTTTTAATTTTACAGAAAGTCTGCTAAACTAACAAATATCTGACTTCACGATTTGTATTATTCAACCAGATCCTTTCTCGATCCGTGCTGCGAATCGACTGAGACTTGGCTCAGTCGAACCGGTTTATATACTTTTTATCCCCCTATGGCGTCCCGCATGCACTGCTGGTCCTCGGAGACTGATCTCGAGATGAATCCAAAAGTTTCTTTCTCAATTATTTACACACAACTTTACATATTATTAATAAACGTAAATGTCCAAAATAGTCGTACCAGTAAAAACTAAGTATAAATTAAAAATAAAAACGCTCTTGTCCCTCTGTCAAGAAATTATGACTCATTCCAAGTGAATGCGTGACATCTGTCACGTTATAAAAATAATCAACAAGTTTCCTCAGAACGAGAAAATTCTCATGAGAAAACGCAGACATCAGAATTCTTATGAGTTTCAAGTCGTCGGGAGCTCCGTCACCGTAATAACGGAAGTGCAAAGTAAAACCTTGAACTTTACATTTCAATTTATTTAATTTCATTCAAATTTAATTCAAGGCTACGGATGACCGTAGAATCCCGGAAAGTTCTTAAAATTGTACTGAAGTCAATTTCGAGCATCCACATACGTTAATACAATTAGCGTCACTTGAATCAAGTAAATCATTGACTTCTAGGAAAGATTTGACGTAGAAGACAAGAGAAAGGTTTGCCTTTGAAAACTTCAAGTTTCCATACAAAATAAACTACACTTCCGCCCTAAGCTTCAACGGATTTCTTTAAACTCCCACTGATTCCTCATTTTTGCAATATGCTCAAAGAAGCTTAATAGTGCACAGTCATCCGTCGTATGGCATCATGAGTACGCTGACCGGGAAATCCCCAGGCCTTATTTACCGTCTTGCCCATACAGGGAAGTCCTGAATGATTTATAACGATACAGAGGTTTCTAGTTTAATTTATAACCCGAGTCCTTTATGATACAATCATTAAATGCCATTCGTAGTCATTCCCATTAGTTTCCCAGAAGCAATAGTTACCAAGTAAACGAGTCTTTTTATAGTGTAGGAAGGAAAACTGGTCGTGCAAGTAAAATTTTTCATTAGATATTCATGACATTGATGACTGATGTACATCATGACACGTAACACTAGATAGAACATAGATCATAAATGATTTCTAAATAAAAAAAAGTGATCTACAATTAATCTCATTATACAAGCAATTCTCAATATATTTACGATATACCTTATCATATAAATTATATACTATTCTATTGCACTATCGTTAAGTGGGATGGCCATGTCATCGATTGGAAATCAAATTATTTACTCCAATTGGGATTTTCCGATTGACATACGATTAACGTACAATTTCTATTTTGTACAAATTAAATATTTACTAATTAAGGGAAAGAATTTAATTTGTTATAAGAGTCTAAACATGGGTCAACGTGTCGAAAAAAAAAAAAATACTGAAACAGTCTTTGGCTTGTTGCGCATCGCTGGAAGAACCACGCCGAAAATATCTTATTGGAAAATAATACCGGGTAGTACAGAGCAATATCAATATCAGGAGGTAAAAGCCGATCCTCCAAATCTTTATCGATCCGTTTCAAATGTTTGATCGGTTAATTAATCGGTGGCTGTTGCTCCGGCTTTGTTAAGGACAATCTACGGATATTCGGCTTATCGTATTCCTCCATGGACATTCCGCGTGATAATCTTCGTGGATGTCCCTGGCTGTCGAAGGATTCTCCGCTGAAAGTCCTTTGCCTTTCGACGCCTGGCATCGTGATCGACGTCAGGAGACCCAGACCCTTGCAGAAGAGTAAAATACTCTGAGCGACTTTAGCCGGCTGAAAATTGACAACGAAGACGTTGTGATTATTAAGAAAAAAATTTGATTGAGAATTTTTGAATTTTTCAATTTTTTTCAAAAATTCTTACCGCATCCACAAGTACGTCTCCGGCTCGCTCGATGCGAAGCAGCGTCGCTTTCTCTTTGTCCAACTCACGATACAATTTTTCGACCACGGATGCGTACGGGCTGAGCATACCTGTTATCAGTAGTATATCAGTTTTGCAATTTTTCAGAGAGATGTCCTTCCGCCTGAAAAAATATTTTCATTTTTTTTCATAATAATGTTGGCTCATTGATAATTGATATTAATTGTCTATCAATTAATTCGTGGCTTACGTGAGGAAGGAGTTGACGTATAATTTCAAATTTCGGGGATTCAAAGTTCCGCGAAGTCTTTTCAAAAATTCTTCTATCACTTTATCCTTGTCTGCATTCGTTTCATTAACCAGTTGCTAATGGGAAAAAGAATATCAAATTTTAAAAAATCCCATCGCTTCAAGAAACAACAGTCAGGTCAATGACAAAGGGAGGTAGGTCATTACCTCGTTAACCATCTGAATGCATGTAACGAAAAATAATTTTTTTTTCTTTTTTTTTTTCTTATAATTTCACCCTTTTTTCATAATATACTAATAACATTATTTTACTTACATTTCCAAATTTATGGTATACCAAAAATTCTTCGGCCGATTGGCTCACCTCTTCTTTGCCTCTCCAACTCAAAAACTGCGATTAGAAATAATATAATAATAATAAATGAAATAACTATATTTTTCTACGAATGCCGTAGGGAAAATCGAAATTTTACCTTGTTCTTAAAATTGTCAAGCACAGAAGCTGCACTTCCGGTGATATTAATCAAAATTAATCCCAGGACCCTCGAGGGATGCGCCAGAGCAAATCTCGCCAGTACATTCGCACCTGCCCCTTCGCCAAGTCCGACGACGTATTTCACGTGCAAAAAATCCAGTACGGTAACGAGATCCTCGCCAAGAGTTTGCAGCGACGGAAACTGAAATCTTAAAAATCACTTGAAACAATGAAAAAGTCTACAACAGTTAAATCCATAAATAATTATGTTTAAAAAACATATATTTTAACGTATACGCAGAATATTGACAATTTCAGAATTTATTGAAACTCCGCGTCAGCGTTACACGTGCAGCACGCAATCTCATTACCAATGCAAATCCAATTTGCCCGGTATTACCGGTAAGTGTTAACATTCCTTTGTAAGGTTCCATCGGGTTGGTAGGAGTGCGAAACAAAATTTTGCTTTTTTATCCCCAAGAAACAACATTGCATAAATATTGGCGAAGCCCGTTTCGAAAAGTGGATAATCGAACCGTGCAATAATTTCACTTGCAAGGAGAAAATTGCAGGGTCAATTTTCGGCGCACTTGCCACTTACGATTAGTAAAGTGCCTACGTGCTTGTACGCAGCTCCGAAGATTTGAGACGCAATTTACTAAAATTCCCGAATTTCATGTCTGCACTTACCCATCGTACAAATTAGGCGCGTTATCAGCGTGACCCGGGACGTCGATATGAATGAACACGGATCGTTCTTTAATCTCTGACATGCAGGGATGATTGACGAAATCGTGAAACGAAGTGTCTGTAAAAAAAAAAAAATTATTTTTCAAAAATATACCTCTGTTCCACTTTTCAAAGTGGCTTTAAAAAGAATATGGCTCCCTCGCCCAAAGAGTCTAAGCCAATTACAGAGACATGTAAATTGATAAAATTTGCATTTCCAAAAAAAAAAATAATTTCAACCCCTAGATTTATTCTCTTCGAAACCAGCCTTAAAATTTACATAAATTGATCGTGATCCCAAATCAACCCTTGTCCACGTCAAGTGTATCCACTTGGGACACAGTAAAATCCATGCGTACCTTATCCGCCCCTTAACTGATATAAAACACTTTTTAATTTTAAATCCCATAAAAGTGTGCACTTACGATTGCATCCCAAATCATGAACAGTTAAAAAAACTGCGCGCTTTTGCTGTTGCGCGATGTCGCCCTGTGAAATGAAAAATCAAATTAAAATTAAAAATTAAAAATAACACCGTTTCTTAACCAAAAATAAATTCTTGCCTCCACGTATACATAGAGATCCCCACTTCTGTCGGTGTTGACGACGAATTTCTGAAAGAATAAAAAAAAAATAAATTATGAAAACCTTTCACATGCAGGGAATTGCGTGTCAGTCGGGTAGAGGACGAGCTAGCTCGTTAAGGTCGACCTGATGCGAATATCGAAGTGTCGACGAACTATCGATTTTAGCCAGTAAGGCCTCCGCCGGGGAGCCGCTACCCGAATTTTCCACACTTTTCACGAAGAAAAGTCCTGACGTTCGCAACCCACTTCGAGATTTCGTTATTTCATTTAACTAAATCATTGATATTCATTTGTATCACTTTTCCTTTTTTTTTATTATTTTCCATTTTCCTCTTTTCTGCTTGCAGCTTTTTTTTCCTCTAACCAACATCAACCCTTTCCCAATAAACTTTCAAGTTATTTCGCGTCTAAATTATTCCAGAATTTAAATAAGAGAAGGCTTCGATAATCGACGTTGACACCCGCCAAAAGCACCTTCTGTAAAGTCACTGTTTAAGCCAAGAAAGAAAAAAAAACCGCTACGTGAGCAATAAAAAAATAAAATACAACCATATTATTAAAGAGAATAAAGAAAACCATGCACTTACGTGCAAATCAGATTCAGTGCCCTCGCTCATGTTTCCAAAAAATAAAATGCGTCTCAGTTTTCTTTCAAAATTCGTAACAGTCCCGTGTACCGAGTAGACAAATCGTCACTGAACGACCCGAACGAAAGTACCAGGCGATACAAAAAAGTTCAGCAAGCACTTTCAGTTTCTTGTAGCGTCCACGTAAAGCACCAGCAACAGCAGCAACGAGCAACGTCCGGTTGGCACAACGAACGCAAACCGACTGACGGAATATCGCTGGGCAAGATTTACCATGCATCATCATCTTGGAGCACACAGCCTTGAGACATCCCCACTCGACTCATGCCCTTTAAGCCCGTACCTAGAATTCATCCCCGTTTCTCTTCAACCCCCGCCCGCAGATACAGTAGATCGTCAATATTAAAAACATACACAAGCAGCCCCAATAAATCCCTGAAACTACCCACGTGCTCGGTAAAACTTCATTTAGACAGATTTAGACGAAATCCTTTGAATTTCATGGGTTTGCTATACCAGCAACGAGTGCGAGAGAGAGGGACGTATAGGCGCTTACGCGCGTAAGAGAGAGACAGACATAGCGAAAACGTAAAAAGCAGACGGTACCCTTTGCCGAACGAACACGTTCAAAAAAAAAATAAGGAAAATCGAAAATAATGTACTTTTACACTCGGTATGAAATTTCGAAATATTCCTCAATCTTCGAATTAAACTCAGCTCTACCTTGGCACATCCGTACGATGGACAAACGCAAGAATAATCGATTGCCGATATCAATTGAGCTTTGTACGTTTCACGTAACGCACTTTTATAAGCGAAATTACAAATTGCACTTACTATCACCGATATCAGTAATAATACCGCAACTGTATTTACCGTTTATACAGTATTCGAATGAACTCTCCGAGGATCTCAAAACTCCAGTCCCTATCGCGAAAGAATGAAAGCCTCCGAAAGCTGCGACCCTTTTTGAACGAGATACTCCAGGGCGCCTGAATAGAACAAAGGACACTTTGTCATATTTCGTGTTTCACTTGAGAATACACAGCTGCGCTTTAAGCGCCCAAGATGTTTACCCCAGCCTACAGGAAAGCGCAGACTGTACAGTGTCGTTCAAAGCTCGTCTACGCTGCTGCGTAGTATTTCTATATATTGCGTGCAAGAGCATGGGACATCGGAGCCATTTAATTACGCACGCCTACGCGTACGCAGCGACTCCCTGTATCGGTGCTAACTCGCTCAACTAATTTATTTGCCGCACTAATGAAAACTGCTCCAGCAGTTTTGACATGGCAGCTAAGTACTAAGGCGACCACGTGGTGCCAGGCGTACACGACCATAAGAACTGCCATAGCCCTACTTTGTTGTGCAATATTTTATTTTGCTTTAAAAAATAATACATCGATCGTACGATACTCAGTGCAGTAAGAACGGATACATTTGACCTTTTTTTCTTTTAACCAAATTTGCCAACTGGTTCATGGAGGTCCTTCCGTTATGCTTTGACCTCTTTAACTGGCTGATCATCTGTCATTGACTGGGTCATGAGGCTGCTAATTGGATACATGAAATTACGAAGTTTGACCACGTGCACTTTGACATGGATGATATACTACTTATGTGACGTAATAAGTATTACTAATAAATATTTTTTATCCCAGAAATTTGTCAAAATTATTAACCCGTGTTTTGAACAGTGTTTTATTAAAATTTCTGACTTATCCGTTGGCCAACTACCAGTTGCTAGGAAAGCAACAACAGTTGTCAAAGTGCACGACTGTCTTTTTGTACGTGCCAAATTTATGAACACGTAACTCGTGACGCGTACGTGCTAACCGCACAGTTTGTTGTTTGCGCTTTCGGGTTATAACAGTCACTTACAGACCCGTTCAAATAGCATGCTATTACTGGAACGACCTGTACCTCAATGAAAGCCTGACTCAAAGGGGAAATTCCAAAATGCTTTGTTCACAATAAATTGTTCGGATACGAGTGTTCGATAGGGGCTGCTTTTTTTGTAGGAACTTTTTATTATTTTTCTCAGGAAGAATTCAGTGTGGAATTCGCATCCCCAGCGCACGTGTCTTTGAAACGGGAGCGTTTATCGACCTAAATTTCAAGATGAAGGCGTTCAACGAGATTTGAATTTCCCCGTGCATCTCTTGGACTCGTGGACCAGTTTTTTTTGGTTTTTTGACTTTGTCTTAATTTTTGTATTTGATTCTTTTTTGAATTCTTCCTGATCGTCTTTCCTGATTATCTTTTTATCTTTCTCTGTTTCACGCGTGAACCGGGATGCTGGGACTTTGAAGATGCTATGCAGAAATGCCAACGAATGCATTGCGAAATTCATTGGGCTAAAAATAGATTATTGAATTAAATTGTCTCTTGATTGGACTTAATGACGTTTGTCTGATGGACTCGTTGCGTAATGATGTTCGTACTAGAGAATCTATCATTGTTGTTGTTTGTTATGGAAAAAAATTTTTTCAAGTGAATATACGATTTTAGGCTGAATTCTGTATTATTGCATAATTCGAAGTAATATGCGTCTTTTCTTTAAATGGAGCTAGAATTTTTTATTCAAATTCTTGAAAAATACTTTGATTGTATATTTATCAAAAGAGACTATTTTACTGTGCGCTAATTCGAGTATCGGCTGAACGATCAGCTGAGACAGCTAGAATAATTTAATTCAGCCTGCAGCACCGAACCCACCTTACTTTAGCCGCTCCCGTAAAATTTTCTTTGACTCTTTGTAAAATCGATGCGACTTTACGGAATCTAACAGGTGGCTCAAATTTTAGGGATTCAATGTTTATACCGCACCTTTTTACGTAATCGAAATCAGCTGTGCGATTTAAGAAAAAAAAATCTAGAAATAGGTCAAAATTACAAAAAAACTATCTTAGCTGGGATCGAGGGTAAATGTGATTAAATGTAAAATTCAAAAATATAATAAAAATAAAAAATAATTCTTACCCTCTCGCTAGCCGGACACAACAAGCTTCCACGTTGTGCATGACTCTTGCGCTTTTGAGCTGCCATTTTATAATAATTTTTTGAAAATCACCGTTTATAATGACATTTAGCTTTTTTGACTGTGTTGAACTTTTCGAAAATAAAATTCGAAAATGATCCTCGGATTATTGAGGGCGAATAATGATTTTATGGTAGTTTACTTTGATTTGATCTTTCGCAGAAATAATCTTGATCGGCTGATGGAGTTTCATCACGAAGCCTGAAGTCAAACTGATGATCTTCTGGATGCGCCAGCATTTGCCAGCGTAAAATGACGTGTCGCTCGACGGCCTAAAATTAGTCAGAGACTTTGGGGACTTCGGTTGTGTATTTGTACACAGATTGGATGACTCGTAGCTTCTGCATGTAGGTTGAGTTTTGGATGCAGTCTGGGACCACTTGGCGCCCTCTTGTAAGACAGGAGCCAATGGGTTCATGAGAGAATGATACTTTTGAAGTTCACCGTAGAGCGACAGAGGGCGCTGACCATTTTTTTTAGACGATCGACAGTGCTGCGAGATTTTTTTGAAAATCGGCTGACAATCAAGTCATTCTGACAGACAATAATTTTCAAACTGATTTTGAGATTTTTAATATATATAATGGGAGAACAGGTATTTCGATGACAAGCGTATGATATTGCATAGTTATTTTTTGGGTGCTTTTTAGACAGAAGGAGAAGTGGAACGAAAAAAATTTTTTTTGCTTCAAGACGCTTTTCCGTGCTTGGTCAAGATTTTGGAAATTTATGATTCGAAGGAGAGGAAGCAAAGTCCGGATGAATTTTGTTTAATGATTTTTACGAAGACGGTCGAAAGGAATGTTGGGAAATGTCATTTTGACAATGTTCCCAAGTTAAAGGAAAACTTTGAGGTTAGATTTTGTATTATTTTTTTTGGATATTAAATATATTTTTTATTTTTAAAATTTGATTATCCTTTTTAAGATTCCTCCAGTGACTTTGCAGCAACCGATTCTCGATTTATTTTTCAATATTATTAGACTCGAAGGGTTTTTGAAAATTGTTGTCAACGAATTTTACGAACTTAAAAACAGTTATAGGATTAATGATTTTTGGCTGATTACTGGTAAATGGTGTAAAAATTATTGCAATAAATCATTGACTAATTTAATATAATAGTTAGAATCAATATTTTTTTGTTTTAGCACTTCTGTACGTTCTCGTCTACAGATCGTCCAATGTGGAAGTCAATGATGCTGTTGAATTTATTAATATCATTGATCCATCTAAAATGATCAATTTACTCTCGTATCTTACTAACCCTGAAACACAAAATCTTATTTTCGTCGCCGGCTGTACCATTTTCGATATCGAATTTGTTCGCGAAAAACTTTTCGAACCATTTCGAAAATCTAAAAAATTTCTACAAGTAAGTGATACGTTGCCTTGGCCATGTAGGATATTTGACAAAAATTATAAAAATAATAAAATCAGGATTTAAAATGTGCACTGAGAAAAAAACGGCAGGATGCAAAAGCAAAAAAGGAATTAACCGTCCCGATGGAAATGAATGTATTGAATCGTCCAAAAGCAATGCCACGAGTGCCATGCTGTACGCCAGAGGTAAAATTTAGAAAAAATTATTTTGGCAAAATTGTAAAAAAAAATGTATTCTCCAAAAATTCTCGAGAATCCCACGAAAAGAGACGCAGCTCGGCCAGTACCAAAATCCACGTACACGTCAACGACAATAGAAGAAAAATTAACGAAATTGCGAAAGGAAAACAAAATTCGTGCCACAAGTTTATTACAAAATGCGGAATTAAATGCGCCAAATTGTTTACGTCGTGAGAAAATCGATATTTCCAAAATAGCAGAGAAAATCGAATCCGAGCGACGGAAATCGATGCCCCAAAAACCAGTATCAAGAACCTCACCGAATTTCAAAGTACAAAAGAAATTTTCAAATTTCACCATTTTTAAGAAACCGATAAAAACTTTACAATTAAATAATTAATATCCATCTGAATGAGCAGCCAGTGGAAATTAGACAAAATGCAACAACGATATTGCGCGAGGGTGCTCGAATAGCACAAACGGAAATGAAGGAAGTTCAAAGGTCAGATAAAAATTATTTTCAAACAATTTAAGATTCAATAAATATTTGCGACGCAGGATAAAAGATCTCGTGCAAGGAGCTTTCGATCCAGCGGAAGTTTCAAGAATCGAAAGTGAAATGCGCGCTCAGGCGGAAGATGAAAGAATGCGAAAAATCATAGAAAATCGTTTATCGGGTCTTTTGAGCCACGAAGAGGCGCTGATAGCGAAGCAAAATCTTCTGAATGAAATAAAGACACAAGCATTTCGTGTGCGCCGCGAGGTAAAAAAATTGTACAGGTAGTGGGAAAATGTTGTCAGAGCAATAAAAAAATAATCATTAAATGATATTCGTTTCCATAAAAGAGAGAATCGCTCAATGCGAAATTGGAAATTTGGCGCGTGAGGGAGTTCAAGAAAATACGTGAAACTGTGGAAAAATCTCACGACATAGAACAAGCGTCGCGAGAAGCACAAATGTATATGATCGAAGAAAAAAGGCAGAAAGGTAGAAAATTTTTTTTTATTTTCAAAAAAAAAGCGTGACTAACCTCAAAAAATATGATAAAGCCGCGGAAGTTACGGAGGAGTCGAGAAAATTGCGAGTGGAGCTTTGCAAACGAAAGGAAGAAGATCTCAATAGGAAGATTCGATTGATCCAAGAGATCAAGGCTCTTCAGTCGTTGCAATCGATTAATCAATTGAACAAAATCAAGGATTTCGATCCGACGTGCACGAGCGGACTGGGTTTGCTTTGCGAAATGTCATTGGCGGAATTGAAGGAGAGACTCTTCATCACCAAAATGAAGATCCAGGAAGATCTGGAGGATCGTAAGAGATCTATAAGGGAGCAGCGACAGAAGCAAAAAGATTTAATAAGATTCACACAGAGAACGATCCAGGAATACAAAACCAAGTTTGAGAATTTAATTTTATTCGAAATTTTCATTACCACAATCCTCCGCGTCTGATCTCTTTTTTTTTCACATTTCTTTTTTTAGCAAAGACGTTAGCACACCCATGAGAAATGCAGCTTCTAGAAAAACAGTCAGGGACTTGCGATCGGCAAAGATCGAGGAATTGCGAAGTAAATTGGAAGAGAGAAGAAATTACCGACTGAGCAGACGTTTCATTCATAATCCTTTATCTTCGCAAAAATTTGTCATTGTTCCTCCGTGATTGGAGTTACGGGTTACCTTAAGAATTTTTTTTTTTCTTCGTACAATAGAAACATATTTTAATACAGCCATAATAACCCGATCCTTCAATTGTTCGACACCCCGTACATCTTTGCGATCCATTCCAAAATCAATTGCCACAGTTTAAACTAATGAAAGTGCATTGTTGACGTAGTTCACCGACTCTCCGCAGCTATGGCACTAGCGCACTTGTACAATATCTATGGTGGTCGGTAACCGACGATCTACTTTACCGACGGCGGATATATAAAAAATCTGAAAGTCAGCGTTGTATCAAACGACTGATACGAGTAAGAACAGCTAGTCAGGCTAGATTGCGAAATAATCAGCCTATTTAAAAAGGTGGAGTAGGGAGAACACAAGGTCTGTTACGAAAGTCATCACCAGCAATGATTTCCACGCCAATATTTTAGATGAGAAGTACGACTTGTGACATTCATAGATATCACGAAGTGCTAGTAATCGTGATACGTGAAGAAAATGACTTTCAATATCTGCTAACGTATAAAATACCTGACAATTCCAGAGCAGCCGTCAGTAGAGTGTTGTGCTATGAAGAGAATCATCATAGAGTAATTACTGAGTTCAGTCACCGACAAGTGTCACATTGTAAATCGTTTGAAAGTGCACTTTACTAAAACGTATAAGCAAGTGCTAATTATTTTCTCAAAATGGATAATCAAATTCCCTCCCTTTGCCCGAGACTAAACAAGCCTAGAAAGTTTCCCAAGAAACCAGTCACGATTTGTTACAATAAAGCAGCTGCAGTTCAAGTTGACAGAACTGCATACGACAAAGCGAGACACGATGCGCTTCTCGGTGACGTCATTGAGAAAATTACCGTGCCCAAAAAATCAGCGAAAACATGGAAAATGCTGAAAGGTGATCTCTGCAGAGTTACGGTGGTCGAAGGATCTCAGGTATAAAAATTTTGAAAAATGACTTTTCCTCGAAATTCGATAAAACACAATTTTTACATTTTCAGGTGGGTGACATGAATTTTTGGAATCTTCACAATCCCAAGGAAAGATTTTACTCCGGTAGTTTCTCTGATATATCGTTATTCGTCGTGATGATTTTTCATTTATTATTTTCTTTTAAATATAACCTTTTTTTCGATTCAGGCAAAACCAGACAACTTCATGCTTCTCATCTGACAACTTACGACAGACTTTGGAGCAATATGCCGTACGTAAGGCCAATGGCTACTGTCATTGCTGATTCCTTATCAAGATATGGAATCGACGAAGATGGGGCTAGTGTCCATGACGTGATAGGTACATACGGATACCTTATAAAAAATTGTCATACCCCATAATTTATACTTATCTATGAGAATAAGGCGGTTTTACCTAATAATTATTAATTTCAGGCACCAGGTGTGACAGTTACACCATCGAATTAATAACCGGTAAGAAATCCCATGACTCCTGTCACACTTACTTGACACGTGCTGCCCAAGATGCAGGACTGACCGAAGATGACGTCCACGACGTGTGGAACATATTTATGTGCACTGGATTTACTAAGGTAAAAAAATTTTACGTCAAAATACATTATCTACGTAATCAAAAAAAAATATGTCACCGTTAAATTGTTTTTTCGTCAACCACTTTAGGACACTCATCAATATTTTTGCAAGGCAAGTCCTGCCAGAAAGGGTGATTACATCGAATTTATTGCCGATATGGATTTAATCGTTGGTTTGAGTGCGTGTCCACATGGTAGGTATAAAAAAAAATTCAAAAATAAAAAAAATGCATATCACATAATTATGCGTATGAAATTTTGATTACCTTGATCTTTTTCTTACTCCAGGAGACGTTTCTGTTCCTGTGGGACTGGAAGTTCCAGATGAAATATGTCATCCGCTGGGGGTTGAGATTTTTCGCAAAAAAAATTAATAAAATTTTGTCTTACACTCAAAATTGTCTACTTTTGCAGTCTTGGTGTAAAATATATTTTTGAAAAAAGATATAACTTCTGATACGTGTCAGTCGCTTTCTGCGACACACCTGTACATTTTTTTGTAAGTCCAATTAAATTTTCGGGCCAATATCAGAATTTGTAGATTCAGGTAAAAATGTAGTTAATAAAATTTATCGAGAGTGCCACGACGTCCACGTTGATTGACGTGAACTAATGGCGCCGTCAATGTGCGTTGATACTGTCAGTCGTTAAAAATGTTGGCGTAATGTATATGACAACAGAATGAGCAATACTGTAAACAATTCAAAATTCGTCAGCTTTTCAATATTACAATCGGTAAGGATAAAATTATGGAAAAAATATTTTGTTTAATTATTTCATTTTAAAAAATCGACGGCAGCGCCATCACTGTGGAATCGGATATACAAAACAATTAATTCTTTAGCGTTCGTTGGAAATGTAGTCTGTGTCATTACTGGCAGATCTGCTGATAAGGTACTGCAGACATATCGGGTGACAGTGTCGTTACTGATAACGTAAATGATTATCTTATCGATATTATCAAAAACTTAAAATAATGCCTGTAAAAGAGTATCCTGTTCCAGACTAAATTGATCGTTGAGAATTTTTATTGGAATTTTCGATAATACAAAAAAAACTCAAAAAGATGTATCTAAAGTCAAAAGCAGATACGTAAAATAAAAATTAGTCATTCCAAAAGTCACCGAATGATTCAATGCACAGAGAACCTCGTGGTACGAATTGTGGTTAACGCTAATTATTGTGATCCTTAAATTTCATGATAAAATTTATATTAATTAAAAACTACTAATTAAGACGCTGATTAATGCTATTGGATGAAAATATAAATTTAAAAAAAAAACAATTTAATTCATTGACATAAATGTTTTTTTTTAACTTCATCGTATACAAAATGGGCTCGGAAAGTTGAATTAAAAAAAAAAAAAAGAATTATTACCAGAGCATAATCCCCTATCCATCAAATCACCGAATAATCTCGTGCACGATTACTTCAGAAAAACAAAATCAAGAAAAAATGAACGGAAGAAAAAAAAGGGCTCTTTTGACGGAGGCTGATCTAGTCCGTGATTTTTTTTTTCAAAATTTATATAAACCTTTTGCAATTTTAATGGTTTGAAATTTTAACGTTATACAATTTGAAATTGAAAATTCACGATTAGATCATTTTTCATGAACTAATGTATTTTATATATAGTCCGTAGTACTAATAAATAAAAAAGTGGGAATCTGTGCAATCTACAAGAATCCCAGGTTGTAAAATCATATCCGATAAAAGTTATACGTTAAAGCTCGAAACGGGTAGTTGTTCCCTATTTGCTGTCACATGATTTACAATTTCTCGATATTGTATCGAGGCGCCTCGAATGATGTATGGATCGGCAAACAACGATAATCCAGCTTAAATGCCGAATCGAATTTTATTTGGAGTAGCCGCTGTTGACCGTTTGTACAGGTGTCTTGTAAGGGAATTTTTGAGAATAATTTTGTTGAAAAAAAAAAAAAAATTTTGCCATGAGAATTTTATTTTGTCAAAAATCCCTAGGGAATTGGAGTTAATAAATTATGATGACAATTGCAGTTGGTTTATACGTGTACTTGTCGAAGCTGTGAATTTCGAAATTGAAAATAGAAAGGTGGGAGGTGAAAATTTTGGAAAATTTTTTTTACACGTGTACATCAATAATGTAAATTATATGAGAAATGCAAATTGAATGACATACCGGGTGCTTAGTAAATAATGTGAACTTCTCGAGTACGGCCAGTATACACGGTGGGGAGTCTGTAACCACAAGAGTAGGGATTCTATCGTCCTTATCAGTTTATTGCGTCCAATGGCGAGCTTGAGGAAACAATCGCCTTGATAAGGGCGGCATATTCTCTAACTCTTGAATCCTTATGTCCCCAGTCAGCTTTGATACGGAGGACAGTTAGGAAGCTATTTTTGAGGAAAGTGCGTCTCCAAAAGGAAAAATTAAAAATCGAAAAAAAGTACGATTTTCGAAACGCTTGCAGTACCTGTATCGACAAAATAAAATTCTGAAAAATCCAACAGGATGATAGTGAGGAGATAATCGTAAAAAACAAAAAATCCTTGAGGAATAAAGAATCCTCAAGGATAGTTAGAAATTTTTAATAGAAAAAAAATTTCCCCCGAAAAAATCAAAAAAATATTTTTTCCCTATCAATTCCATCATCGAAATGACCACCGTTTGCAAGACAGCCAGATCCTTCAGGATCGACGATCTGCTCGACAAGGACAATAATCGTGAATCCTGCGAAAGGGAAAGGTCCATCTCGCCTAGGAGTCCATCCTTGATCAACAGTGCCAATACGCCACCCTCGACGCCAACGACGCCGACGACGCCGACGACGCCTAGTCAGATCCCTTTCCAAGGACATTGGCTGGCAAGACCTACCCCACTCTATGCGCCACACTTGGACGATCGAAGGCTCTACTCGCCCTACGACCTGCACCACATGAAAGGTAAGTGAAAATTGAAATTTCGAAAAAAAAAAAATCAAAAAAATTGCAAATTGAAAAAGAAAAAAAATATATATTTGCCAAGCAACGACTCGACGGTACTAGTCATTTTTTTGGTTCCTCCAAATTTCAAATTCACAATTATAAAATGTACAGCCCATGATAAATCTTTTTGAAAAGACTCTCTAGAATCATTGCGCAATAGCTACGCGAGAGGATGCATTTTATCTGAGTGACTTCCTTCCTGCACAATATTCAAAGCGGAATGGTCCTATCTGGAGGATACGAAACCGCATTTGTTACAAGGAGAAAAAAAAGTGGATAGCTAAAAAAAGATATGTTCTCTCTCTTTATCAGTCGGCGGGAATTCCTGAAAATTCTCCTTAAACCGTGACGTCAATCCACCATATCGGTCCTGCAGTCTGTATTTTCGTTTTTTTTCTTCTTACATTTCAAAATCAAAATAAAAATTACGTCTCGATTTTAGTGAAACTAACGAAAGACGTAGATCCTACAAATAATTTAATTAGTTGATCAATCATATCTCTCTGAAAGGGTAATTAAGATTACGGGGCGTTTAATACTTAGAATGATCGATTATCGTTAAGTATGCTGATTATTAATTACTTAATTACCGATCGATTGAACTCATGCGATACAGTCTACCACGTGTTCCGTAAACTCTCGTGATATAACTCACGTTTACCTGCTTTATTGATAAACAATATTGCGATATAGTCGTCATCGATGACGTATCGACGAATCAGCCATTTGTCTAATTAAATCGCAAATCCCACCCAAGTGCACTTTTTGGATTTTCGTACGATGTAGATTTATCAAGTAAATTAAGTACAGGTATATATTTTTTGAAAATATTTTTCCTCCTGAGAAATCTGAAGAAGATCATTTACAGATCATGTACAGATAAGTAGTAGGCATCGAAGAGAAAATTATCAATAAATATCGTAATCACCGATTACTTCATTATTGATGACTGTGACGTGACGCGATCGTAAATTTAACGATGAAAATATTTTTAGCCTGAATATTTACGATAAGAGTAATAAGAACCGCCAATAAATTAATTATCGAAAATAAAATTGATTTTTCAAAAATATTATCAACGAAATACCGAAATATTGAGATCGTTCGATCGCTTAGTCGATTGTCTATCAATAATCGGGATAGTAATTTTTTGTTAAACTGAAAAGAAAATTTTGCAAATTTTTTTCGTTTAAAAAATCTTTTAAGAAACACGTGACGTCGTAATTGGGTAATTTTCACAGAATTACCATATAAAGGCATGCAAAACGCGTATCGGTCCAACTTGACGATCGTCGCAAGAGTACAAAGTGTTTTTGAGTTTAAAAAAATGACCGGATGCCTTTTTTGAAATTGAAAAAATATAGATAAAAAATAAAATCATCATATCGAAAGTTGTTGAGTGGTCATGATTGATGATTGGTCCGCGGATTACGTTCGGATCCGATTAACCCCGCGGCAGGTATTTAGGAGCGGCAATTATCAGCCAATAACTCAGTGGCATGCCAATGATATTTCATTGAACCGATTGCCGGCACTCGAGCAGTGATGCAATAACTGGTTTTATAAACCGATTAATCAAAAATCTACGACGTCGTACGATAAAGTAAAGCTTTGGTGCTAAGCCGCTCTTTATCAGGACACCCTGGCTAATAGCGTCGAAATAATATGTCAATCCGTACGTAGCTTCTGGCCAATCAGAAAGCCCGGATTCTCGGCACTACGTAGAAACGGATACACTTTAACGTCGAACTTTTATCCACACCGAATTTCTCTATCTATTCGATGTATGCCAATCGCATGAATTAATGATCGAATATTACATTATAATGTATCCATACTGTGAATAGCCTAAAAAACATTATAATCTTGTATGATTAATTGTTGACAGTTTAATTTAAAGAAACACAGAACTCGATACGACATTAGTGCTGAGGTATAAGTCAATGATACAAAAATACACTAGTTTCCCAGGCCGAATTATTAAAAATCAGATTAACGAGTAGTCGCCAAATCAGCTTTTTGCAATATTTTCACGTGACCAATAATTTTCGAAATCTCCGGTCTGACAATGCGGCACGGTGAATCAAAAATTTAGCCTGGCCGAATGGTTTGGTTCGTTATCGATGACAGTCATTGAACTCCAATGAGTTATTTCCGGCTTCCGATAAGCTTTATGCAGTTTCAAATTACTGGATAAAAATTTTGAATTTAAAAATTCTCGTTTTATATATTTGGGTCTTAACCATGTTGGGATCAAAAGGGAGATTATAATGCTATTGATCATTAAGGCCGGGCATGCACTGATAAGTCGAACCACACCGGACTCTATACACTTTGGATTTTCGTTTTAGCTGTTTGCGTATCGGCTGGTCAGCTCAAAAGGATTATGACGACACTGAACAATATCGATCACTTTGCCAGTTTGTGTAGCAACATGAGAAAACGCGAGAATCGATATAGCACTGACAATAGTTACAACCTAGACGGCATTGGCGTATCTGTCATTTGAGACAGCAGAGATAACATTGCCGTTTCGTAAATAATTTCTAAATATATATTTAATTGATTTTTAACAGTACCGCCTAACAGATTCTGGCATCTGTATTCCCCGTATCATCTGCCACTTCAGCACGGATTTCTTGCGAGACTTCATGCTGCACATTACAGCAAAAGAAAAGGTGGCCAAGTCCGTTTCACACCGCAGCAGACAGCTGGACTGGAAAGAAGATTTGGCTCACATAAGTACCTTAGTCCTGAGGACAGGCGACATCTGGCGGTGCAGTTGAAACTAACTGATCGGCAGGTAAGGAAGCGCGAATAAGCTTTTAAATATTTTTAGATGGTACATTACTCTCGAGTACGTGAATTTTTTTATATTTTTCGGTTTTTGATGCTTTCAGGTGAAAACGTGGTTCCAAAATCGACGAGCAAAATGGCGACGTGCCAATCCTTCCACGTCGAACGTAAATGGCGAGGATCACAAGAGTAGGTGCCAGGCGGAAGGAGAGGATTGTTTGAACGGAGAACAAGAGCCTTACGAAACGGATTGCAGCAGTCCAATTTCCGTTACGGATTAATTTTCTAAATAATTATAGTCTTGGATATTTCGGCTGTTACCTTTGAAATAACTATGAAAGCTTTGCTTTGTGAAATCGTCAAAACGATTTTATGAATTTTTTAAAACTTTTTTTCTACCTTCTTCTTTTGAAATTCTGGCTTTCTGTACGAGAAACCACTTTCCGGGATCCATTTGTAAAGCGGTATAATTTTCATGATATAATCCCTTTTTCGAAGCACGGGTACCGGAAATGTTTCGTTTTTTCCTTCAAGTTCACAAAATTCTCGCCGTCTACTTAAATTAACAATTGTTCCGGACAGAAAGTTATTCGATTAATGATTTATTTGTCGGTACGATAATACATGTGACGTTGATAGCTACAAAATATAAAATTGGTATCATACCTAATTTAAGTAAGTCGAAGCTTCGTATGACGTAAAGTTGTTACATGTTTTATATTAAAATGTGAAAAATTATGTAAACTGCCTTTGTACTATGCCAATATTTATTGCATAACAATTATGTGTTACTCTCTCTTTATTCTGTACCTAAAATGCACGACCAATTAAAACGGATTTGCACCAGGGAGCTCCTTCGCTGTGGTCATTACTAAAAATCAATTTTTGTTTTTATACTCAAATTTTCATCACTCGAGAAACAAGCTGCCGGCAGTCGGTAAGTTCGTAACAAAATCCTGAGATGATAAAACAGTTTGTCCACAACGACGTATAAAGTACAAAATATCCGATGTAGATGTCAGGACGTATGATAAAAAAATATATTTCAAGAGAAATTTTTATTCAAACACTTCCGACCTTCATTTTCACAGCCTCAATAATGGATCGGCCCTTTCATCCCTTCTTCAATCATGAAGCAAGTACTTATCGTAACTCAGCAAGGTTTGAAAATGCCAGTAGAAATAATACTTCTTCCTGTCAGGATGGCAGCCAAGTCCCAACCTTTCTTTCATTCCCCTTTGTACGTGAACAGCTTAAGTTCCATTATGCGGTGAATAGAATTAGCCCCTGGCGCAGCCCGGTTAATTAACAAGGCGATGTTAAACTTTTTAACGGTACGCGAAGGCGATTAAAATTAGAATAATACGCGGCTCTACGTGTTCCGAATGAAAATTCAAATGAGAAAGTAATAAAGCCCTTGCTAGTAGTAGATAATTTTTTTTCATTCATATCCTATTGCCCGATTATACTTAACGTTTACCAAGTGACTGCCACGTGCGTTGCTAAAACTTATGATCAATTTAATCACGAGTAATCAATACCGATCGAACGACCAAACCTTGCGAACCTGATTCCCGTGGTTAGCGGAAGTACATAAGCGATGTTGTGGACGCAGCAAACCGAGTACATAAAGGTTCAGTAGCTGGGTGAACAATATCATCCCCTCGCTGATGAAAACGAAGCGATGCGACGGAAACCATGCGCAGAATTTAATAATCGACAAATTTCCACTACCCGTCTCTTACCGACCTAACCTCAACAACGGATTGTCAGGATTCACTCACCCTCCACCAAACGTTCGCTCTACCCTCGATACAAAGAAGCCCCTGTAAATATATAGGGGACGTACAGATATGCACTGTGTAAAACTCCAAAATAACCACCCCCTGGGTTCCAGCTTGAAGAGCCTGAAAGTGATCCTTTTGCTTGTTGTTCAAAATAAATAATTCATACGGTTACGGAAGTGTCAAGTAAAAAAAAAGAAATATGCCGAGTAGAGAAATGCTGTGAATTACTCTGACAAAAATTATTTAAATTATGTTGACCAGATATACCCGTGTAATCTGTGCCGCGCGGTTCTGATATGTAGAATATACTGTATACATAAAGGAAACTGTATGTAAAGGATACTGTATACATAAAGGAAACTCCTACTCGGGTGGCTACCAGTGATTTCACATAATGAAACTCAAATGTACCACAGCATTGAAATGAAATTCTCTGAATGGTTATTTTTCTGAAATCCCGATGTACCGCAAATGAAGTACTCTGTTGTATCGTGACATATCTCGACTGAGCAGTCGGTAGACGAATTTATTGTGCAAATAACTCATATAGAATTAAAGATACGGAAAAATCTGAGAATGATAATAGCACGGCAATGATTTTACTATAAATTCATACTGAGTAGTACATACCTTGAATTGGGAAGCTCTGATATGCCGTACAAGTAGAATGTAGGTGAAAGTTGTAATTCCAGTTCACGTCAACACACGGACACTTCTAGCTGGCATCACCTGAAATTTTATTAATTATTAAATGAGTATAAAACCATAATAAAGTATGAGAAGCAGTAGTAATATAAAAGAGTAGCGAAGAGGTTATAGGAAATTTTGAAAATAAAATTAAAATTATGGGCCAGTGCTAGGTCATACAACAGGCAGATATGTAGTGACTTACGTACTTGGCATTAATAATATGATTTCACTACTTTTTATTAGAGGAATTCACAGCACTCCTGTACTTGGCACAGATTTTTACACGTGTTTTTTTGGTGGATCGAATAATAACCAAAGTGACTGACAGATTAAAGAGAGTGAAATTTATTTCTTGTATTACTTTATCACGTCAAAGGTCTAAGCTCTCTTACTAATGGATAACACGAGAAGGAAAGATAATGGTCGACGAGAAAATGGCCGAGAATTTCTCAAGCCGGTGTGAATGTAAGGGCGAATGAGACAGACGATGTATAGATATAGCGTATACAGGAAAAGGATTTCGGCAGGAAGGGACGAAAGAGCCAGGGGCGGACAGAAGCTGAGAATTATGGTGTGCACAGGGTGTCAACGACAGGGGCACAGTAGCGGACTAAACAAGCCTCTAATTGCTGGATGTAGCCATCTGTAGCGACACGAAACACTCGAAGCCCGTGTTCGGAAATTCCTGAGAGAGATGTGCTTCTGCGGAAAGTGGATGCCGAGTATGCTTTAAGGATCCGATGTAACCTTATAAGGATATTTCTGCCCTTTGAAACGCACGCGAACAATGTTGACTCAATAGATTCGATATGCACGGGATATATGTCGAGTACTTACTTGGAATATTTTTGATGAACATTGGCCTTCAGAATCAAGCCGTAGAGACAGTTCGGACTGCAAGACTCCGAGGAATGGAATCAATTCACGATTATTGGCAAATTCCCATTGCTGTCAGACGCGACAATTCACCTTAAGTATGTCGTGCTAAACTTACTGGCATTCGAGACTCGACGCTGTCTAGCTAGTAACTACTAAGGTCGCGAGGGGCGCCACTCGCCAAGAAGTATTAGAGCTTTGGCCACGAGATGTCTTTTGTTTCAGGAACGTCGAATTTTACGAATTCTATCAAATACACAGTGTAAGTTCGATAAGATTTAATAGGACAAAAGCCAGCACCTGATGCCTGCTTGCGTTAAGGAGTGCAGCGATGCGGTGCTAGATTCCAGCATTATTTAACAATAAGTTCCAGACGGAACTTTATAGGTAGTATACTTATAAGTTAAAGGTAGTATAGTTATAGGTAGTAGAAAAAGTGTATTAATCCGTATGCGTGCGAGAGAGACACACTTAGAGCCCTGCTGTACCAATGAAACGTACGCTTTAGGAGCATTACAGGGAGCGTCAACGATATCCTGAAATGCGAAGAATTGCCGTGCACCGATCAGCCTGTATCGTCACTCGAGAGCATCGTTAACGAACCCTGTACGAGTTGTTATTGACAAACCTGTCGTAGGGGGGCATCACTTTTGCCAGGGAGTACTCGAGAGGGGGGGAGGGGGTACTCAGCGGTATACAAAGAATGTGTTATTGTTTCAGAGGTCAGTCTTTCGAGAGCCGACCTCTTGTAAGCCGCGTTTTGCCGGTCTTCCTTCCCCCTTCCCCTCTCTCCGCAAATACATCGCAGTTGTGATACATTCATCGATTCTTTGTCTCTTTCGTTCATCTACATTCTAAGGTAATACTTGATTATCTAATTCTATCTCTATCTCTCTCTCTCTCTCTTTCTTTGTGTTAAACATTTTCCCAATTTCTTCCGCTGGGCTATACCTTCTTCGTGATATCACTTTGGTATCGCAGTAAACTCCGCAGCAAATATGCTTCACATATGCTCATGTTGTTCAAAGTCTGTACTCATGTTTGTCAATGCTTTGTGTCCGCGACCAAAGTCTGTCGAAGGTCGGAAGCCGCTTCGCGGCCCTTTAAGCTCTTGCGTCACAGCAGTCCGCTGTTACTTCGGTATCTGTTAGCCGGGCCTCCGTTGTCCGTGGGGGTTGGGCCCGATAGCGTGTATTTCGCACCCTAGCCTGCTTAATCCGGTCCATCGCGCTTGTCCCCGGTCAAGTGTCATGTCTGTAACAACCATTCCCTATCAGTATCATCAAAATCATCTCTTTTAATCTCTTCAGGCCTTCAGCCCATTTCATGCCATCTCTTTCTATACTCTTAATCCTTTACCTTCATTTACGAAAAAAAAAGTGTGACGTAGTGAATTGATACGTTTGAATAAGTGCGTCGCGAAGACATTATCTAAAGTTCGCGGAAATTCGCGTATTGGTCTATTCGTAACAAGTGAAGAATTAGTGCGCAACCGGAAATACAGGAAGTGCAAAATAGTGGCCAAGGCTGGAATCGTCAAGTCGTCACCAGGATGGACCTCGAGTGTCGAAAGATGTACTGGACCAATGAACAATACAAATGGACAAGAAAAGGGCAGACGAGGATCCTGGGGTAATAAGTGATCTTTTTCTTTTTTCCTTTTTTTTTCTACTCACCATAAACATTTATGTAAGCGGCTATGCTGAAAGCCATAAATTTGCTATACTCAGCGGATACCGGAAGTATAGCATAGATCTAACTTATATTTGTGCGAGATTTTGGTGATGCATTCCGAAAGTGTTCCCATGCTGCGCGGTAGTGTCTGACTATATTTCCAGCTATTCTTGTTTCCGAGTGATCAACCGCAGATTTTGCTGTGTACTAAATAATTTTTCCTCGTCCACGCAAGCATAGCCTTCAGTATATCTCTACTGCGTTCCATCGTTTGTACCTTCACAGCTTTTTCATAAATTGAAGATAAGTGGGTAGCAGGTACAGTGTCTAGACATTGAGTACTAGAGAGAACTATCCCGGAACTGTTTGAAACACAATCTAAAAACAATCCTGAAAACCTGCTCCTCATGCATACAGTATGCTTGGTAGCAGAACTATTGTTAAAAACCTATCAGAAACTACAGAACTCCTTGACACCTTTTGAAAGAGCCTATTGTCGAAACATTTTTGTAGGCTTTTTAAATAGTTCTCAAGGAGTTCTATAGATAGACAGCAAGATATATGTATCCACTAGATGTCCCAGACTGTGAATCTCGTTTATTTCGATTTGGCAAAAGAGATCGTCGAGATTGCAGCAGCGCTAGTTTCATCGAGTGGCGCTAGAGGGAAAGGTAAAAGGGTCGCGTTTGTCGATGCGAAGGGATCGAAGGGCTCAAGATGAGATTAGGGGTTCGCTTTAAAGTGAAATCCACGGAATATCG